TGTTCGTGCGAGCGTGCGAGCGTGCGAGCGTGCGAGCGTGCGAGTGTGAGTGAGTGCGTGCGCGTCTCTCTCTCTCTCTCTCTCTCTCTCTCTCTCTGTGCGTGTGTGCGTGCGTGTGCGTGTGCGTGTGCGTGTGCGTGTGCGTGTGCTTGTGCTCGTTTCTTCGTGCGTGTTGCATATCTGTGTGTTTGTTTAGCGTGCCCATTTTGTTCTTTTTGTGGGTTCGTTCTTGTGTTGTTTGAAGCGAACCCTCTAAGGGGGCCGAAGCCCATGTTGGAAATGGCTCTTCTCCGCTCCCATGAGACAGAGCGGCTTCTTGCCGTCCACAAAAATGGCCCAGGCGCAGGCCAGTGAATTTCCATGCCACCCGTCTCAGGCTATAGGGGCTGGAGTGGAGGAGCCTGGACCGGTGGAAAGGGCGGCGGCGGCGGTGGCTGCGGCGGCGGCTGGGGTGATGAGGTGGGGCGGGCAAGGCCCTGGCCAAACATGAACCAAACATGAGGTGAAAACAAACAGGCTTGGAATGTGCTAGCCTTTAATTACTTCAAGAGGGATCCGGGAGCTCTTTTCTCTCCCCAGAAAGAAGGGTTCGCTCTTGACAACTGTTCTGGGGGTACTGACGTTAAACATCATGCTGTAGAAAGGGGCTTGAGTGAGATGGTTTTCGGTGGGACATTTGCAGGGACATAGAAGGACCCCTGAGGTATGCCAAGTTTGGCTGTTCCTTTTTGGTGGGACCAGTGTTTGGGGCTGGTCGGAATCATGTGTTTTCCACTGGTGCAACACATTTTTTCGGGAGGATTCTGATCACGCTTTGGGGAAGGCTTCGAGATTTTTTCAACCAGAGACAACATGACGCTGTTTTTTTGGTTTTGTATGGTCGTGCATTTCTGCCAATACAGTAAGCTGTGAACAAGCATTTGGAAGAGGTTCGGTGAGATGAAAGCTTTCATCCAGGGGAACCAGGCTCAGAAATCATCATTTGGTCTGATTGAGGGAGGTACACTCAACCACGTGGTGTTGCTCGCAACCCAACTGTAGAACCTTCCCGATTGAATGCGATTGGTCTGATTGAGGTCCCTCGTATTTGCCAGCATCTCTGTGATGCCGCCAGTAGGATGGGGTTCTTCTATGTTCTTCAGTGTTATCCGTTTACAAGAACGGAGGAACATATGGGGAGCGCAATTTCGCGTCTGAACGCGCGGCGTGGACTTGTATGTTGAGATTCACATTTACCAGATTTGCGCCGATTCCCAAAAGTTGCGAACGGGTTGACACTTTGACAGACAGAAATGTCCCCGGTACATTTCCTCCTGGCCACTTTGAGGGCATGAGACTCTATACCTTCAAACACTAGAGGGCCATGGAAAATAGGGATGTCCAAATTCCAAACATGGGGTTTGTTTTGTTTGTTGTTGTTTTGGTGCGACAATTTGTGCAAGACATTGGAAACCCTTGGTGCTTTTGGGAAACACCCAGCCTGCCAAGCCCCCAGGAGAAGGGCGGCGGGAAGGGCTGGGGCGGCGGCGGCGGCGGCGGTGGCGGCGGCTGGGGTGGCGGCGGATGGGGCGGCGGCTCCAAGGGATGGGGCGGCGGATGGGGCGGCAAAGGCGGGCGAAGGATCGGGCGAAGGGGTTGGGGTCAGTTCCTTCCGTTCGGTTGGCGGAGTTTTTTTTTCTTCTTCGGCGTGCCACATGGGCATGTTTTGAGTCTTGGTTCCCTATTGAACATTCAAGGCTCCTTTGTTCAAGGAGGGATTTGTGGCTTTGGTGCTCGATTGCTGTGATACCAAGATGGAATCTCCAACAGTGCCACCAACAGGGTGAATTCTGCAATGTACGATTGGGTGCAAATCTGCCTTTTGCCAACCCACCAGGCTTATTACTCGCAGAAACTGCAAGAAAACGAACACGGCACCCATAGTTCTCACATCGCTTGTCGCAATCCAGGACTTCTCAGGTCGACGGATGTCTTTTTGGGGCACACACACACACGTAGATGAGCTCACATGAGATTGCGAGCTTCGGCCAAGTTTTTGTTGTGACTCCTGCAACTTGCGGACTTCGGGAACATTTTGATCAAGAGAGGCCCCCCCCAGAAACGCAAACCCGGGCGAACTGGTGCCCTACACAATCTCTGAATATGAGATTCTACCAGTATAGCCGGCGAAGCCGGGAGGCGGAAGTTTCAAAACAGTACACAACTATAGGAACGACTTTGTGTTTTTCTTTGTTTCTTTCTTTCTTTTTTTCCTTCTTTTTTGCTTTCTTTCTTTCTTTCTTTCTTTCTTCCGTTTTTTTAATTCTTATTTTTCTTTTTCTTTCTTTCTTTCCGTCCTTTTTTCTTTCCTTTCGTTCTTGATATTCGGTCGTTTCTGTCGGTCTTTCTTTTGCTGTGTTTTTTGCGCTGTTCTCTTATCTATCTATCCATCTATCTATCTATCCAGTTATCTATCCATCCATCCATCTATCTATCCAGTTATCTATCCATCCATCCATCTATCTATTTCTCTATCTACCTATCTATCTATCTGTCTATCTATCTACCTATGTATATCTCTATCTATTTCTCTATCTAGCTAATCTATCTACCTATGTATATCTCCATCTATTTCTCTATCTAGCTAATCTATCTATCTATCTATTTATCTATCTATCTATCTATATAGCTAATCTATCTACCTATCTACCTATCTACCTATCTACCTATCTACCTATCTACCTATCTACCTATCTACCTATCTATCTATCTACCTATCTACCTATCTATCTATCTATCTATCTATCTATCTATCTATCTATCTATCTATCTATCAATTTCTCTATCTAGCTAGTCTATCTATCTATTTATCTATTTATCTATCTATCTATCTATCTAGCTAATCTATCCACCTATCTACCTATCTACCTATCTACCTATCTACCTATCTACCTATCTACCTATCTACCTATCTACCTATCTATCTATCTATTTATCTATCTATTTAATCAATCTATCAATCTATCTAGCTACCTATTTATCTATCTGTCTATCTATCTATCTATCTATCTATCTGAGCGACTAACTCTATTTACGTTAATGGAAACATGCAAGGGGCTGGAACTATTTTTGGGGAAAGGTGCATATTTAGCCGCAGAACGAGTTGGGGAACACCCCGAAAACGAGATAGGGCAAACAAGCATGATATCATGGATTAGGATGACATTTTGGCAAGTGCAGCCTGGCAGAGCGTCTTGGGTTCAAGGTTGTTAGATGTAGTGTAGAGTAGACGACCTACATCGCATGGTCCGTGGCAACTTACCACAGACTTTCCGGGGCAAGTACTGGCCAACCCTACGATGCCTAATTGCAAAAGGGTGTGAAGCAAACTTGCGAAGAAGTAGCGTAGCTGGTTTGTTCAAGATTTGCCCCTGGGCAATTTTCAGCCGTCCAAAAGCGGGCCATGTTAAAACGAGTTCCAAAACGAGTTCAAAACGAGTTCAGAACGAGCCCCCTACAGCGTCCAAGTGAGTATTGGCCCAGTTCCTCCTTTCAAGTATTTCTTTTCAACAAATTGTGTAGTAGCAGTTTGCTTAGCGAAAGGTTGTGCGGCAACAACGAAGGAGAGAAAGGAAGCGGCAAGCTAACCAAAGCTCGTTTACTTCTTTAAGCTCCTCTTCTTCAAGCTCTACAGAAAGGTAAGCCAGATAAAACGAACGCGGTGTTGGAAAACGAGATAGGGGGCTGCGACCGAGCGCGGGGTTGGAAAACGAGTCAGGAACACCCGTCCATTACGCCATGTAACAAATAAAAGCCGTTGCTCATCTATCTACCTATTTATCTATCTATCTATCTATCTATCCGTCTATCTAGCTAGCTAGCTAGCTAGTTCTCTATCCATCTCTCTACTACCTCTCTACCTATCTATCTATCTGTCTGCCTGCCTGCCTGTCTTTCTTTCTTTCTTTCTTTCTTTCGTTCTTCCTTCCTTCCTTCCTTCCTTCCTTCCTTCCTTCCTTCCTTCCTTCCTTCCTTCCTTCCTTCCTTCCTTCCTATCTGTCCATCTCTCTATCTCTCTATCTATCTATCTATTTATCTATTAACTTGTCGATCAATCAATCTTTCTATCGCTCTATCTATCTATCTATCTATCTATCTATCTACCTACTTCTCTATCTATCTATGTATCTATCTGTGTATCTATTAATGTATCTATCTGTCTGTCCATCTTTTTATCTAGGTAGCTATCTATCTATCTATCTATCTATCTATCTATCTATCTACCCTATCTATCTATCTATCTTACCTATCTATCTGTTTATCTCTCTCTATCTCTCTATCTCTCTATCTCTCTATCTTTCTATCTATCTCTCTATCTCTCTATCTAGCTATCTAGCTATCTTGCCATCTATCCATCTATCTATCTGGCACTATGTCTGTCTAGCAATCTATTTAGCTATCTAATTATGTAGCTATCTATCTGGCTGTCTCTCTAGCTATCTATCTGTCTATCTATCTATCTATCTATCTAGCTCGCTTCATCAAAATATCTACTTCGAAAACTACTTTTGTACTCGACTTTTCCCATTTTCGAGCTGCAGCTGGAGAAGTGTACTTCGAATGCTACTTTTGTACTTAACTTTTGCGATTTTCGAGCTGCAGCTGGAAAATGTAATCGCACCTTTGATCGCGAAAGTATTGCGCCTGCCACGAAATCTGTACCTCACCTTGCGAAATTGCTGCGTCTGCCACGAAATCTGTACTTGACCTTGCGAACATGCTGCGCCTGCCACGAAATCTGTACCCGACCTTGCCAAAATGCTGCGCTCTGAGACCGTCGTCGGACAGGCGTCGCGACTGGGGTAGCTTTCAGCCAGCCCGGAGAAGCCAAAACCCGCAGAGGGTTGCTCTTTTTCGCGATTTCTATTCCCCCGCCACACGCGCACGCATGTTTTCTCGCATTCATCTATTCCTCCTATATCTCATCTTTGCGCAAGCTACCTTCAATTAGTATCCGTAACATGGAAGTTCCTTCTAAACTTCCTTTGACAAATCAAGCCTGCGTCTTTTGGCAGCACACTTGCACTTGCACTTGTCTCCGCTTTCTGAAGGGTTTTGGGGCAAATCAGCAATTCCCTCCTTGGGCCAGGATCCCCCCACCCCGCCCGTTCGCAGGTGGCGGCAAGGGCAAGCGCTCGCCCAGCGGGCCCACGCTGTCGCGTGCGCGGGTCACCGCAGAGCCCATCACTGGGGAGGTGACCGAGTGGAAGGGCCCCAGCCCCAAGAGCCGAAGTGTCGCCCGTCGGTGCGTCTTTGGCCCGTGCTCTGTTGCCCAGTGGTGTCCTTTTTTCCTTTTTTGGGGAAGGGATCCCCCTCAAACTCAACCAGCGAACAAAAGGTGCCCCTGGTTTTCCCATGGCCACTGGGCGTTTCCCAAACAACCCGATTTTCTGTGATGGTTCAAAGGGGGATTTGCCAGGATTTGTGTCAACAAGTCAAGGGGCAAGGAATCGAGCATCGCGCTGCAATCAGGTCTCCTTTGGCCTTCGAGAGATGACCCAATCAATGGCCCTCACTGTGAAAAGGACTGTTTGGGAGACATGGTAGTTTGGAAATTGAGGGATTGACCGACCAGTAACCCTTGGTTACACCTGGTATTGTCACTGGCATAGCAAAACCCTTGTAGTCTGTTCGCAAAAGCCACCAACACACGGCCAATTTACGCGGAGGTTCCGGTTTGCTGGCATTGGTGGTTTTGATGTGTTGATGTGAAGGACAGGTGTCCTTTTGGGTCGGGTTGGTTGAAAACGGATGGCGGAGATTTCAAGCGAAGCTGCATCCTTCACTAGCACCATGTACTTTCTTGAACAGGACACCTGGAATCATGGCATCTCAGCCTGCTTCGCCGTGGGAAACAAAAAAACACAAAAAAAACACATATCGCCTTGGAAGCTTACACTGGTGTAGCCATCTAAGGAGTTTTTGTATTACACCCTGGGAATACACCCAAGGCACATTTCCGGATAAAACCGTGCTATTTTGAACCATTCTGGGTCATTTCGCAAGGGTGTAATTCCAGGGTGTACTACAAGCACCCTCAGAAGCCATGCCCTAAGCTTCGAAACCCTGGCGCGAGCCTCGCCTAAGATTTGACTGCTAGGCAAGTACGGCTGGATCCGGCCCACCGTGCCAGTGGAGCACCCTCAAGCGCAGCGACGGCAGGCGAGAGGGCGGGGTTTGCGGTTTGCCCAAAGGGGTACCGCGCTGTTTCCCCTGGGTTTGATGGTTTCCTGAAAAGAAGGAACATGGGGAAGGTACCCCTAGAATGATAAACCATTTGGGTGTGTCTGGCTTTGAGGGTACCACCCTCTTGGTGGTGTTTATGGGAATCAAACAGAAAAACCGCCCAAGATTCTTGGGGTTTTTCTGTTAGGTTTCTTTAAAGGAAATTCCCCCCTTCCAAAAAGAGACGGACCCCCCAACTCTCTAGCGGTTGATTCCTTGTCCATTCTTTTCAACCATGGTTCTTTTCAGGAACCGGCTGTTTTCCTTTGGGTTTGTGGGCGCAATCCCGAGCTTATCGGCGAGTATAGTGATGGCGAGGAAAGGATTGTACGTCGACAGTAGTCATGAATGAAGGGGACCGTAAGAAGTGCCTTTTGCAATCTGATGTCACTCATTTTGGTTTACTTCTGGACAAATTTGATGGAACAAATGAAGACAAGCGAATTGGATCAATAGTTAATCAACGTGTAACTAACAGATAAATAGAGAAGCTTTGTAATATCATTATCAACTTCCTATTTGTATGTTGGTCTATACGTGTTTCCTTATGATTCTATTCTAGGGAAGGTAGAAAGAAGAAATGAGATCATATTAAAGAACCTATTATTTTTATTTCGTGCTTGCAATTAGCGGCTTGTTGGCTTGCAAGCCGAGATCACCCCCACGCCATTCGAAGTTCGAGTTCCGCTTGCGCGCTCCAGCCAGAGTCGGTCAGGGCTTGATCTACGTGAGCATGAGCGACCTCCAGGGCGGTCTGGAGGCAGAAGCCCCAAGGGTGGGGGGATGGCGGTGTATTTTTGAAGTTCCCTATTTGGGTCAGAAGTAGGTATCCAAAATGGGTTGCCGTGGTAAATGCAATCATGGGCTAAAATTCTGCAGTCCCTGTCCTGTGGTTGAATTTTGACCCATGACCATTTGAGGAAGATACATGAGCCGATGTTTAAGTAGACAAATACAGGCATGAGTTCTCAATCGATTGAAGCAAGAATAGAAACATGTGTGGACGTCGGGTGTTTGTTGCTGGGGCGAGAATGTCTTTCCACTGTGAAAAGCACAGCAAGTGCATTGCACTGACCCAGGCTTACACTCACCCTAAGTGAGATTCGTCTCCTTGTGCTGGGTATGTCTTTGGGTTGGCCACGGACCCCCATCCCACCCAAGCCACACTCAAGACTCAAGTCACACCCAAGGCCAAGCGACAAAGTCACAGCTTTTTTCCTTGAAGTCCAACGAATGGCCGGGCCGCTTTTAGACGCAAGGGCTCTCTCTCTCTCTCTCTCTCTCTCTCTCTCCCTCCCTCCCTCCCTCCCTCCCTCCCTCCCTCTCTCTCTCTCTGTCTCTCTCTCTCTCTCTCTCTCTCTTTCTCTCTCCTGTGCGACATGGACCCCCTTTTTGGCTCATACTAATAGCAGGTGTTGCTACCGAAACCGGGGGTTGGCCCATGGTGAGACACAGAGAGAGAGAGAGAGACATCTCAAACTTTTTGGTTTGCAGGTCTTCATATCCTGGAGCTCCCTCAGCTCTTGCTTTGGGGACCCCACACTGTTCATATCCTGGTTGCGCGAAAATGTGCTGGCGCCTGTTTGGGCAGTCTGTTTTTTTTTTTGTGTCTTCAAGTCGGACCCCGCGCTTTGTCCGGCTCCTGACATATGAGTCAAACTTCAGATTGAAGATGCGGAAATTGGCCAAGTATCCGCGAAAAACATGGAAAGGAACCATTCACAGCGCAGGCACTCACGGTGGGCAGCCTCTGTCAGTTCCACGTCTTCTGCGACGCCTCCGGGCTCGGGGCGGAGGAGGTGATCGGCTCGTAGAGGCCCCGCGGCTGGGGGGGGGGGGCAGGGAGCTGGGGGAAGCTGTTGGGAGGTTGGGAGGTTGGGAGGTCAGGGCTATCTCGCAAGGCCAGAATCAAATGATGTTGTTTTTGGTCGGGGTAGCGGCAGTTGCATGCTGGATGTGGTGGTGTAACTTGACCGCAAATAAGACACAGAAAGCCCAACACTCAGGAGGTGCCCTCTCTTGCAAGATAAACTCCACGTGTCCCCAAGTGTCCATAAATCAGGGTGTGGGTGGGCACGAAGAATGAACAAAAGCAGGTGCCGTATGGAAGCACGCGACCTCGTTGGTGAGTATCCCTTGTAGTCGTTCTTCACACAAGCCGGTTGCCCTAAAAGAAAGAGGTATCAAGAGCCCCCCCCCCCCCCCGGGGAGAGCTGACTCTTGGAAGCCAGGCCCCCAAAGGGTTTTCTTTTTTTCCGCCGTGGATCCCCTTTTTTGTTGGTAGGTAGGGGTCCCCTTTAGGCCGGCCGGTTTTGTTCAGAAATGGCGCTGGTTTCAGTTTGGCTCTAATGAACACGTGGTCGACCTGCGCGCTGAGAGTTGGAAGCTCTGCTCCACCTGTCGAGTTTGAGCCTTCAGAAGGTTGTTTCTGGGAGACATTCGAGAGGCTGAATGCGCAACACCCAAAAAGTTTCATTTCCCTTGCCTGATGGTTTCACCCCACTAAATGGCCAATCAACGGACAGGGTTTGTCAAAGGACTTCTCTGCCCTCAAAGTCCTGTCAGCTGCCACGCTTTGACATGCTTTCTTGCCATTTGCTCGGAAGCCAATCAAAACCACATTGGCAACAACCAGCGGCAGAGCTGAGTCATGCCCCAGTCTTTGCCTTCCCCCAGTCCGCAGAGGTACGGGCGGTTTCTGCTAAGAAACGGTGTCTTGCTTTTGGGTTAAGAAGACTGCGTAGACTTCGCCTCCCTGGTTCTTTCACTTGCTTTCTGTGCCTCTTTGCTCTGCTTGAAGCTTCCATTCTCAAGGTCAACTTCTTAGGCTTGACTTCAGTGACTTCAGCTTGAGTTCCTTTTTAAAACTGCTCAGTTTGCACCTGGCAACCATGTTCAGTTTTGGCAGGCCGGAGTGGTAGCTGGAAGCACTGGATTCGGGGAGGGATCTATCAATCTATCCATATACTACATTGTATATATATATACACACATATGCATATAATTGACCATCCAAAGTGGGGTGAATTGCCCATTGGTCTTCGTTAATCCAACATCAAACAGGGTACATAATCTCAAAAAGATACACAGGTTTTGCGAAGAGCCCGAGGTTCAGATCTATCTTTTTGGGGTTGGAGCGCGCCTTTTTTGTTGGAAACCAGCGGTGAATTCCAGGCCTTTCTTGATTCAACGCTCTCATGTACTGACTGCTAATGGATGTGTGATTCCAAAACTCCACCAAAACTCCAAGTGGGAGTTTCCTTTTCTGGCGGGCTCCCTCATGTTTGGAAACACCCAACCAGGGCTGGTGTCACGCAGTCTTCCCTTTCAGAGAGGCCTGGATTTCGTCAATTTCACGCCAGGCCCTTGAATCCATATGTGCTCACCCTGGCCCATGGGCAGTGCGAATATGGCGGGGACCCTAGGGCTTAGGGCGCTGAAGGGTCTCCTTTTGGGCCTTCGCTGCTCCCCGCAGCGCAGCCGAGGTTGGAGGATCTGAGCGAGCGAGCGTCTCAAAACGGGGGCGAGAAGCGCGGCACGGTAGCCTGCAGCATGGCTTGTCTAAGGGTAAGAGGAGCTGTTCCAGGAGGAAGGTCCCTTCCTTGGGCGTTTGCGTTGGTTCCCCGGATTTTTGGCTTGTGAGTTGTGACATGCCCAGACAGTTGCCAGGGACGGGAGAAACGGATCGGGATGTGAGCAGTTTGCCGTTTGCACCATTCGCTCTCGTCCTTTGGGTCCCGCAAAAATCGTTGCATCCCCGTTCACTTCTCCAAGCAGGCAGCAGGGACCGGTGTTAGAGGACAGCTTTGAGCCATACCTAAGGACCTAGCCACTTTTGTGTCCGAAGGCATTTTCCAAAACCCGTCTGCAAGCCCAGAGTGAGGCTCGAAAGGATCCCAGCGCTACCTGAAACATCAGAGACGGTGCCCGTATCGCCGAGGCCAGGTCCATGGGTCCACTGCAGATCAGCATGGAGCTTTCGTCGTCCTAGAAGACTCGTTGGTTTCCTTTTTGCTCCGTTGTTTTTTCTCCCGTTTCTTTACTTCTTTTTGCCCCCAGGAATTTGTGTTTTGAAGGACTTTAGGGCTTCCAGGGGAGTATTCCAGAGCCTGAACGCCGCCGCGCGCAGCCAGTTGCCTCACGGTAGAAGCAATCGAGTAGAAGGCAGATTCATGGACAGCAGTGATTTGGATCCCCTTCAAAGTAGAACCTCCTCTTACCTTGTCTACCCAGCTTTTTTTCCTTTTTTTTCCAATGCTGGACAGACGTGCAAGAAACAGAGACACACGGAGACCTACTTCCTGCTGTGCACCCAATGCCGGTGCAGGTGGGGAAGGGTGCTGTCGGTTGGCCGCGTTGTAAAAAGCACCCTTTGGAGGGACAACCCAAATCCTCATTTGGGTGTTTCGTTTTGGTTGCCTTGAACTACCAGGGGGTCCGCATCCTCCGAGAAACTCCACCATCTCTTGAATCCAGGGGCTTGTGGAACATGGCCTCCTAACCCCCACTGACAAAAGCCCAGTTCCCTCATGCCCTCGGTTGCCCCAGAGGCCCCAGAGGCGGCCCCTGAAGTTTCGAGAAGACCTTGCCGGGCCTTCAATCGGCATGTGTAAACAATTCTGACAACTTCCGCAGAACCCAACAGCTGCAGGTTGCCTCTGAATTGGTTTCAAAGGCTGCAGGGCTACCTCGCCCTTTTTATTCACTTGATCGCCCTCCATTTTTGTATGTTTTTTTGCTGACCCCAGGTTCCAACCTCCCGTTCTTTCAAATCCGCTGGGCTTTTTGTTTGACCTCAGGGCTGCCGGCACTCTGGCACAGTGCCCAGTCAAAGAAGGCCAGTGGCTTCCCGCTGACACTTGAGTGCCTGCAGCGGGTTCACGCCAGCATAGATAAGGCTCAAGCTGTGTATGTACATGTATTGATACATGCATATGACTTTTACACACGCTTGTTGCATGTGTACGTATGTATGTATGTATGTATGTATGTATGTATGCATGCATGTATGTATATATGTATCTATGTACGTATGTATGTATGTATGTAATGTAGTGTAATGTAATGTAATGTAATGTAAGGTAATGTAATGTAATGTAATGCAATGTAATGTAATGTAATGTATGTATGTATGTATGTACGTATGTATGTCATGTCATGTCATGTCATGTCATGTAATGTAATGTAATGTAATGTAATGTAATGTAATGTAATGTAATGTAATGTAATGTAATGTAATGTATGTATGTATGTAATGTATGTATGTATGTATGTATGTATGTATGTATGTATGTATGTATGTATGTATGTATGTATGTATGTATGTATGTATGTATGTATGTATGTATGTATGTATGTATGTATGTATGTATGTATGTATGTATGTATGTATGTATGTATGTATGTATGTATGTATGTATGTATGTATGTATGTATGTATGTATGTATGTATATGTATGTATGTATGTATGTATGTATGTATGTATGTATGTATGTATGTATGTATGTATGTATGTATGTATGTATGTATGTATGTATGTATGTATGTATGTATGTATGTATGTAATGTATGTAATGTATGTAATGTATGTAATGTATGTATGTAATGTAATGTAATGTAATGTATGTATGTATGTATGTAATGTAATGTAATGTAATGTAATGTAATGTAATGTAATGTAATGTAATGTATGTAATGTATGTATGTATGTATGTATGTATGTATGTATGTATGTATGTATGTATGTATGTATGTATGTATGTATGTATGTATGTATGTATGTATGTATGTATGTATGTATGTATGTATGTATGTATGTATGTATGTATGTATGTATGTATGTATGTATATGTATGTATGTATGTATGTATGTATGTATGTATGTATGTATGTATGTATGTATGTATGTATGTATGTATGTATGTATGTATGTATGTATGTATGTATGTATGTATGTATGTATGTATGTATGTATGTATGTATGTATGTATGTATGTATGTATGTATGTATGTATGTATGTATGTATGTATGTATGTATGTATGTATGTATGTAATGTATGTATGTATGTATGTATGCATGTATGTATGTATGTAATGTATGTATGTAATGTAATGTAATGTAATGTAATGTAATGTAATGTAATGTAATGTAATGTATGTATGTAATGTAATGTAATGTAATGTTGTGTAATGTAATGTAATGTAATGTATGTATGTATAATGTATGTATGTATGTATGTATGTATGTATGTATGTATGTATGTATGTATGTATGTATGTATGTATGTATGTATGTAATGTATGTATGTATGTATGTATGTATGTATGTATGTATGTATGTATGCTATGTATGTATGTATGTAATGTATGTATGTATGTATGTATGTAATGTATGTATGTATGTATGTATGTAATGTATGTATGTATGTATGTATGTATGTATGTATGTATGTATGTATGTATGTATGTATGTATGTATGTATGTATGTATGTATGTATGTATGTATGTATGTATGTATGTATGTATGTATGTATGTATGTATGTATGTATGTATGTATGTATGTATGTATGTATGTATGTATGTATGTATGTATGTATGTATGTATGTATGTATGTAATGTAATGTAATGTAATGTAATGTAATGTAATGTAATGTAATGTAATGTAATGTAATGTAATGTAATGTAATGTAATGTATGTATGTGTAATGTAATGTAATGTAATGTATGTATGTATGTATGTATGTATGTATGTATGTAATGTATGTAATGTATGTATGTATGTATGTAATCTAATGTATGTATGTATGTAATGTAATGTAATGTAATGTAATGTAATGTATGTATGTATGTATGTAATGTATGTATGTATGTATGTATGTATGTATGTATGTATGTATGTATGTATGTATGTATGTATGTATGTATGTATGTATGTATGTATGTATGTATGTATGTATGTATGTATGTATGTATGTATGTATGTATGTATGTATGTATGTATGTATGTATGTAGTATGTAATGTATGTAATGTATGTATGTATGTATGTATGTATGTATGTATGTATGTATGTATGTATGTATGTATGTATGTAATGTATGTATGTATGTATGTAATGTATGTATGTAATGTATGTAATGTATGTATGTATGTATGTATGTATGTATGTATGTATGTATGTATGTATGTATGTATGTAATGTAATGTATGTAATGTAATGTAATGTATGTATGTATGTATGTATGTAATGTATGTATGTATGTATGTATGTATGTATGTATGTATGTATGTATGTATGTATGTATGTATGTATGTATGTATGTATGTATGTATGTATGTATGTAATGTATGTATGTATGTATGTATGTATGTATGTATGTATGTAATGTATGTAATGTATGTATGTATGTATGTATAGTATGTATGTATGTATGTATGTATGTATGTATGTATGTATGTATGTATGTATGTATGTATGTATGTATGTATGTATGTATGTATGTATGTAATGTATGTATGTATGTATGTATGTATGTATGTATGTATGTATGTATGTATGTATGTATGTATGTATGTATGTATGTATGTATGTATGTATGTATGTATGTATGTATGTATGTATGTATGTAATGTATGTATGTATGTATGTATGTATGTATGTATGTATGTATGTATGTATGTATGTATGTATGTATGTATGTATGTATGTATGTATGTAATGTATGTATGTATGTATGTATGTATGTATGTATGTATGTATGTATGTATGTATGTATGTATGTATGTATGTATGTATGTATGTATGTATGTATGTATGTATGTATGTATGTATGTATGTATGTATGTATGTATGTATGTATGTATGTATGTAATGTATGTAATGTATGTAATGTATGTAATGTATGTAATGTATGTAATGTATGTAATGTATGTATGTATGTATGTATGTATGTATGTAATGTATGTAATGTATGTAATGTATGTAATGTATGTAATGTATGTAATGTATGTATGTTGTATGTATGTATGTATGTATGTATGTATGTATGTATGTATGTATGTATGTATGTATGTATGTATGTATGTATGTATGTATGTATGTATGTATGTATGTATGTATGTATGTATGTATGTATGTATGTATGTATGTATGTATGTATGTTATGTATGTATGTATGTATGTATGTATGTATGTATGTATGTAATGTATGTATGTATGTATGTATGTATGTATGTATGTATGTATGTATGTATGTATGTATGTATGTATGTATGTATGTATGTATGTATGTATGTATGTATGTATGTATGTATGTATGTATGTATGTATGTATGTATGTATGTATGTATGTATGTATGTATGTATGTATGTATGTAATGTATGTAATGTATGTAATGTATGTATGTATGTATGTATGTATGTATGTAAGTATGTATGTATGTATGTATGTATGTATGTATGTATGTATGTATGTATGTATGTATGTATGTATGTATGTATGTATGTATGTATGTATGTATGTATGTAGTAAGTATGTATGTATGTATGTATGTATGTATGTATGTATGTATGTATGTATGTATGTATGTATGTATGTATGTATGTATGTATGTAATGTATGTATGTATGTATGTATGTATGTATGTATGTATGTATGTATGTATGTATGTATGTATGTATGTATGTATGTATGTATGTATGTATGTATGTATGTATGTATGTATGTGTGTAATGTATGTAATGGATGTATGTATGTATGTTGTATGTATGTAATGTATGTATGTATGTAATGTAATGTGTGTATGTATGTAATGTAATGTAATGTAATGTAATGTAATGTAATGTAATGTAATGTAATGTAATGTAATGTAATGTAATGTAATGTAATGTAATGTAATGTAATGTAATGTAATGTAATGTAATGTAATGTAATGTAATGTAATGTAATGTAATGTATGTATGTAATGTAATGTAATGTAATGTAATGTAATGTAATGTAATGTATGTATGTATGTATGTATGTATTGTATGTATGTATGTATGTATGTATGTATGTAATGTTGTATGTATGTATGTATGTGTATGTATGTACGTATGTATGTATGTATGTATGTATGTATGTATGTATGTATGTATGTATGTATGTATGTATGTATGTATGTATGTATGTATGTATGTATGTATGTATGTATGTATGTATGTATGTATGTATGTATGTATGTATGTATGTATGTATGTATGTATGTATGTATGTATGTATGTATGTATGTATGTATGTATGTATGTATGTATGTAATGTATGTATGTCTGTATGTATGTATGTATGTATGTATGTATGTATGTATGTATGTATGTATGTATGTATGTAATGTAATGTATGTATGTATGTATGTATGTATGTAATGTATGTATGTATGTATGTATGTATGTATGTATGTATGTAATGTATGTATGTATGTATGTATGTATGTATGTATGTATGTATGTATGTATGTAATGTAATGTAATGTAATGTAATGTAATGTAATGTAATGTAATGTAATGTATTGTGTATGTAATGTATGTATGTAATGTATGTATGTATGTATGTATGTATGTATGTAATGTATGTAATGTATGTAATGTATGTATGTATGTATGTATGTATGTATGTATGTATGTATGTATGTATGTATGTATGTATGTAATGTATGTATGTATGTATGTATGTATGTATGTATGTATGTATGTATGTATGTATGTATGTATGTATGTATGTATGTATGTATGTATGTATGTAATGTATGTATGTATGTATGTATGTATGTATGTATGTATGTATGTATGTATGTATGTATGTATGTATGTATGTATGTATGTATGTATTAATGTATGTATGTATGTATGTATGTATGTATGTATGTATGTATGTATGTATGTATGTATGTATGTATGTATGTATGTATGTATGTATGTATGTAATGTATGTATGTATGTATGTATGTATGTATGTATGTATGTAATGTATGTATGTATGTATGTATGTATGTATGTATGTATGTATGTATGTATGTATGTATGTATGTATGTATGTATGTAATGTATGTATGTATGTATGTATGTATGTATGTATGTATGTATGTATGTATGTATGTATGTATGTATGTATGTATGTATGTATGTGTATGTATGTATGTAATGTATGTATGTATGTATGTATGTATGTATGTATGTATGTATGTATGTATGTATGTATGTATGTATGTATGTATGTATGTATGTATGTATGTATGTATGTATGTATGTATGTATGTATGTATGTATGTATGTATGTATGTATGTATGTATGTATGTAATGTATGTATGTATGTATGTATGTATGTATGTATGTATGTATGTATGTATGTATGTATGTATGTATGTATGTATGTATGTATGTATGTATGTATGTATGTATGTATGTAATGTATGTATGTATGTAATGTAATGTAATGTAATGTAATGTAATGTAATGTAATGTAATGTAATGTATGTATGTAATGTTGTATGTATGTATGTATGTATGTATGTATGTATGTATGTATGTATGTATGTATGTATGTATGTATGTATGTATGTATGTATGTATGTATGTATGTATGTATGTATGTATGTATGTATGTATGTATGTATGTATGTATGTATGTATGTATGTATGTATGTATGTATGTATGTATGTATGTATGTATGTATGTATGTATGTATGTATGTATGTATGTATGTATGTATGTATGTATGTATGTATGTATGTATGTATGTATGTATGTATGTATGTATGTATGTATGTATGTATGTATGTATGTATGTATGTATGTATGTATGTATGTATGTATGTATATGTAATGTATGTATGTATGTATGTATGTATGTATGTATGTATGTATGTATGTATGTATGTATGTATGTATGTATGTATGTATGTATGTATGTATGTATGTATGTATGTATGTATGTATGTATGTATGTATGTATGTATGTATGTATGTATGTATGTATGTATGTATGTATGTATGTATGTATGTATGTATGTATGTATGTATGTATGTATGTAATGTATGTATGTAATGTATGTATGTATGTATGTATGTATGTATGTATGTATGTATGTATGTATGTATGTATGTATGTATGTATGTATGTATGTATGTATGTATGTATGTATGTATGTATGTATGTATGTATGTATGTATGTATGTATGTATGTACTGTATGTATGTATGTATGTATGTATGTATGTATGTATGTATGTATGTATGTATGTATGTATGTATGTATGTATGTATGTATGTATGTATGTATGTATGTATGTATGTATGTATGTATGTATGTATGTATGTATGTATGTATGTATGTATGTATGTATGTATGTATGTATGTATGTATGTATGTATGTATGTATGTATGTATGTATGTATGTATGTATGTATGTATGTATGTATGTATGTATGTATGTATGTATGTATGTATGTATGTATGTAATGTATGTATGTATGTATGTATGTATGTATGTATGTATGTATGTATGTATGTATGTATGTATGTATGTATGTATGCATGTATGTATGTATGTATGTATGTAATGTATGTAATGTATGTATGTATGTATGTATGTATGTATGTATGTATGTATGTATGTATGTATGTATGTATGTATGTATGTATGTATGTATGTATGTATGTATGTATGTATGTATGTATGTATGTATGTATGTATGTATGTATGTATGTATGTATGTTTGTGTGTCTGTATGTATGTATGTATGTATGTATGTATGTATGTATGTATGTATGTATGTATGTATGTATGTATGTATGTATGTATGTATGTATGTATGTATGTATGTATGTAACGTATGTATGTAACGTATGTATGTAAGGTATGTATGTATCTATTTTATGCATGCAGTATGTAATGTAATGGATGTAATGTAATGAAGTTCAATGTAATGTAATGAATGTGATGTATGTAATGCAATGTAATGTAATGTAATGTAAGGTAATTTATTGCAATGGAGTGATACGTAATGTAATGTAATGTAATGTAATGTAACGTGTTGTAATTGAATGTAATGTAGTGTATGTAGTATGTATGTATGCATGCACGTATGTATGTATGCCATGTAATGTATGTATGTGTGTATGTATGTACGTATGTACATGTGATGTAATGTAATTTTGGAATAATATGAAATGGTTTGTGATGTCATGTAATGTAATGCAATGTAATGCAATGTATTGTTTGTATGTATGTTTGTTTGCTTGTATGTTTTTTTTTTGTATGTAATGTAATGTAATGTACTGTACTGTAATGTAATGTAATGTAATGTAATGTAATGTAATGTAATGTAATGGAATATTATGTACTGTAATGCAATGTAATGTAATGTGTGGTATTGTAATGTAATGTAATGCAATGTACTGTATGTATGTAAGGTCTGCATGTATGTAGGTAATGTATGTATGTATGAATGGATGTATGTAATGTAATGTAATGTAGTGTAATGTAATGTACCCTACTGTATTGTAGTATGTATGTATGTATGTATGTATGTATGTATGTATGTATTTGTGTATGTATGTATGTATGTATGTATGTGTGTATGCATGTATGTATGTATGTATGTATGTACTGTATGTATGTACTGCACTGGAATGTAATGTACTTTATTGTTATGTAATGTGCTGTGATGTAACATAATGTAATGTAATGTACTGCAACGTAATGTAATGTAATGTAATGTAATGTACCGTATGTATGTATGTATGTATGTATGTATGTATGTATGCATGTATGTATGTATGTATGTATGTATAAAAGTATGTATCTAAGGAGTTCTTTTTTTATAATTTGCATTTTGTATATATGTATGCGTATACTCTAGGTGTATATGTGTATACAAATGTATATATATATATATTTACATATAGGTACTATGTATATATGTACATATGTATATATGTAAATATGTACATACGATTATACGTATATATATATATATATTTATATATCTGTATATATGTATATATGTATATCTGTATATCTGTAAGTTTGTATATATGCATATATGTATATATGTATATATGTGTATATGTGTATGTGTATATTTGTATATATGTATATATGTAAATATGTGTATACGTACATCCGTTTATACATATATATATATATATATTTATGTATATTTGTGTATACATATATATATATATATACATGTATACGTATGCTATTTGTATGTGTGTGTATATATATATAATTATACACGTATGCCATACGTACATATATTTGTTTTCATGCACATATGTACATGCGTACGTATGTATATATGAATATGCACGGACTTTTTGGCACAGGTGTTGGGTCAGTCGGCTTGCCGGACACGAGGGGGCGGGGGTGTCATCTGCCAGCAGCGGCTGAAGCGGCCGCCTCCTCCTCCATGGGAAGGTTCCGGGAAAGGCGGGGATCAGATTGCGAGCATCGAGGCGATGGGAAGTAGCCTCCTACCAATCATGGACCCTCAAGGGGGGCTATGGGGAGGGGGGGCTATCCCTTATTAAGCCCTTAATAAGGCCGTATTAAGGGCTTATCCTTGGGTTATCCTGGGCTTATCCAGGGATAGCCCCCCCTGAAGATTCCATGAACCAAGTAACAGCCGGAACCTGACAGGAACCTTTGTTTCGGTTTGTCCTCTTGCGAGCGACCTTTTTCTCAAAGTGGACTAGAAAGGCCATGGTATGCCTACTAGCTCCACCCACCAACCACGAGCACGACAGGGACTTGGTTCCTCTAAAAGGAGGGTGGGTCCAAACCAGGACCCGAAACGTCAGGTTCATTGGTGGGAGGGTGGATGGCATAAATCCTCGTTCTTGAGAACTTCTCCTTCAAGCAGACGTTGTCAGAAGTTGCGGAATAAAGTCACATGGAGCTTCAATTGCAAGAGATGCCAAATGATGCAAGATGTTCGCCACATCAACGCATTCAGTGCATTTCTCAACCGGTAAAAACCTCTGGTGATTTCAGCTTCGGGATCCTCTTTGGCTCTCTTGGGAGGAGGGACAACACAAACGAGACATATTGCCATGGTCAGCCAATATTTTCGGTGCCCCCTTGGTCGAACATTGGTTCGCTTTGCTTTTAGTTTGGCATCATCATACTTGACACGCAATTGCACCGCCTTTTCCAGCGGTTTTCTTCTTCTCTCGTTTTTTTTCAATAGGGGGCTGGGAGTCGAGCGTGCATCAAGCCCATTTTGGCCGCGAGGGTGGCGGCTTGCCCTTCCCAACGGACCGCTTCGGCCCAGACGGCAAGCTCCAGCCGAAGCCCAAGACGCCAGCGGCTTTCGCGCTGCGGCCGACGCCCAAGGCCCCGCCCGGAAAGGCCGGGGACAGGCCGGAGACCTTTCGGCGCGTAGTGTAGCCCCGAAAATGGGCGGTTGTGCCTTTTGTGTCCCTTTAAACCCAGCCCCAAAACGGGTACCTTTAAAGAGAGGCACGAATGCTGTCCGTCCAGGGGCAGCTTCATTTTGCTGGGTCGATGCTTTTCATTTTGGAGGGTTGGCTCGAGGACTCCAGCACCCCCTTGGATCAGAACCTTCCACCTCTTGGCTGGGGGTTGGGGTTTGAAAAGCTCTCAGTTGGCCAACTCAACTGCCAAATAGCCCGTAGCTTCTATTTCTCCAAAGGGAAACTAGAAGGGTTGAATTCTTCTCAGGTTTTGAAGGGACACCAAAAGGACCGTCGCGGCCCTGGTCACCTTGCAACTCCGCGCTAGGAATACAACAAAGTTTTGTCCGCGGCAGAATGGCTACATCGTGGCCAAAAGACGGTGAACGCAGTCTATGGTCAACTGCGGGTTTGAGAGATGCAGTACACCTACAAACCTACAAGTGTTGGAACACACCCGAAATATTTCAGGTTTGTTGGGGGAATCTCATGTCTTAGACGCGCATGTAATGTTCTTGCAAGCTTTGGGCTGTGTTGCCAAGGCGGAGCTTCAAGTGGCTGTAAGGTTCGAGCTGTAAGGCTCCTGCGTTCCTTGTACGCTCGGCTGCACCAAGACAGAGGTGAATTTCTTCGACTCGAGTCACTGCTTGGACAGGCCGAGTCGTGCGACTCCTTTTGGTGGGGTGATGTCTGAGAGGTTCGTCGTGAAATCTGCGCGAGTCCCAGGGTTTCCTGGTTTCTTCGAAAGAAGCAGAGTTGGCACTCCAAAAAGACCTGAGAGGGGCTTGGTGGCCCTTGGGTTGGTTGGGTTTGCGCCAGGCGCCCGTTGCCCGGAGGCCGGATTTGTTTTCTTTTTGCACGGTTCACATCAGCGTTGTAAGGGTTAAAACGCATCCGATGACTCTTCGCCCAAACTAGAAAGGAGGGTAACGGTTCTGCATCACAAAAGTGAGCACACGCGTGTATCCGTGACAGGGATATGGATAAGTTTGACAAGAATGGCACAACTCAAGTGCTGTTCCAAGGCAATCCTCACTTCAAGGGGTTAACGAAAAGGGGCTTGCTCCTCTTGCTCGTGATTTCCGACACAATTGGGTGTCTTTTTGTGTCTTCTTTGAGGGTAAGCCTTGTTTGGTGATTTTAATGGGAAACCAAACAGGACAACCGCCATTTTGGGTCCCCAAACAAAGACATCCGCAATTGGAGCTTGGCGAGCAATTTGAAGCAGACTTTCATTTGGACCTTCCCCTGAACACTGGGATGTTGGTGTTGGAAGAGAAGCAAAACACGAAGCGTAGTTGTTTGTTTGGGGCCCCTAGTTTTGGCAACATCCATTTGAAACAGGATCTTGGTCAAGGAGAACAACACGACTACATAGTAACTATGCCACTTATTCTGTGTTGTTAGATAAACATCATAAGCATTTGGGTTCGTCTCCAAGTAAACTCAAGAAGGGTACTCGCAAAAGGAGACCAAACCATTTCCTGAGTAGATGTTGGCTTTGCAGAACCGTCTCGCATCTCAAAACAGGTGACCTTCAGAGATTTACTTGTTGCTTTCTGATCCTTCCCGAGTATATATATATATATACATATATATGTATGCATATATATATATATATATATATATCTGTTAAGTGTATGTCCACACCCCAGAGTACAGACTATGAAATTTAGAAAGCACGTCAAGCATTTGCTAAATTGGCAGTCTTTGCATTTGTTTTCTCATATCTCTGAAGTCTAAGTCTCTGCATTCTCATTCGAGAGTACTTGTGACAAAGGCTTCTGAAATCATGCACTTCATGCAATCTAGCAACCCAAGACATATTGTGCAACATGTTGGGCCGGCCAGGGTTTGCGTTTCAATCGGTTGGACCCGAAGAAAGCCCGCTGGCGCCTTTGCTGTCTCAACTCGTGGCCCAGCCCAACTCGCATGTCCGATGCCCGCCATGAACCGGACATTCGATCACCTGACGGCCCCAAAACCGGGCTGAGGTGAAACGGGTGAAACGAAGGCCCGTAAAGCCAACATGTTCCGCACCCTTTTTGAACAAAGGCCAAGGTTGTTTGCCCCTCACCCAAACCCAAGAGAGTTGCCACCGGCCTCGCGTCCCAAAACAACCAACAGGCCCAGCCCGCCAACCTTATACCTTCTTGCAAAATGTCGCGCAACATGTTGCGCAACACAATGTTGTACAGCATATTGCTCCCAACATTTTGTCAAAGAGTACAAGTCTACCGTGTTTTGAAGGCTGCTACATTGGACAGAAGTGCCTTCCTATTTTTGATATGCCCCGTTAAAATGCTGGAGAATACGGTGCTCGGGCTGAATGCCATGGGCCGTAGCAGCCTGAGGGTTCGCACACATTTGGTTTCACGCTTTGATTTTCTGAATTGGGCTTGGACTGATGGGGCACAGGTGGTTTTACATACAACTCATGCACATGGTGTTTTTTTATGGTTCAGACACTAAATGAACAACTCTGGCATGAGATAGAAAGCAAATATGCTCGAGCAGACACTGATTTTAGTCGAGGATCTTGAAATGCCCATTGTCATCTGGAAAGGTAGGTTTGAGGGGGCTATCATATTCATGTATATATATATGTACGTACATATCTCAAGGTCATTTGCTCAAGAGGTATGTAAAACGGATTCGAAGACCCTAATTTTTGTTGAGCCCTTGTTTGGCCGTGGTTTGGTTCTCCCTGTCTTTGCACCCTTCCGATCCTTGTTTGCCTCCACTTAACCCCCAGAAGGCGGTCCATTGCTTTACATTTATCACCTTCAACATGATATCTGGGTTTGTTCCTTTTTGGGAGGGGAGGAAAACAAAAACAGGTGTGTTTGAAAGCAACCGCCAAACATGACACTAACAAGTGAGCCAAGTTCCACCTTCTCGTGAGATCGTCTCGCGTGTCGCCTTTTCGCTGGGGCCAGGCCTGGCCGGCCGTCGATGTCCCCCTTTGTGGCCAAGGCGGCGCTCGGCTCCGAGCCGTCTCCGATTGCCACGGGAGAAGCGCGTTCCCATGGAAGCCATGTAGAGCTTGAATCCGCTAGACCAGGGTCCTTTCTTTTTTTTTTTGGTCTGGGGGGCGGAAGGCTGACCCAAGCACACGTCGCCCAGGTGCATCAGTTGCAGCCTTTTTGATTGGAGCGAGTATTAGACGCAAAGAGCAGATTTGCGTGGACGCCTGCGATGTGGCACCATGGTGAGGATCATAGTACCCCACTTGCAGTTTCAGCGAGTGGGACCTCCAATTCCTCACAGAGTATTTTGGTGCCATTCGTTCCGGCGTGCTTCCTGGTCTAGTGCGCATCCCGGTCCATATGACTCCAACACTAGCAATAAGCCAGCAGTTGCAGTCGCAGCTCTTAAATTACAGCAAGCATGGGGCGCAAAGAGAAAGGCTGAATGGACACTTACGACGTGGCATGATGGTGAGGATCATAGTACCCCACTTGCAGTTTCAGCGAGTGGGACCTCCAATTCCTCACAGAGTATTCTGGTGCCATTCGTTCCGGCGTGCTTCCTGGTCTTGTGTGCATCCCGGTCCATATGACTCCAACAATAGCACGAAGCCATTAGTTGCAGTCCCAGTCTGTTTAATTGCAGCAAGCATGGGACGCAAAGAGCAAGGCTGAATGGACACGTACGATGTGGCATGATGGTGAGGATCATAGTACCCCACTTGCAGTTTCAGCGAGTGGGACCTCCAATTCCTCACAGAGTATTCTGGTGCCATTCGTTCCGGCGTGCTTCCTGGTCTAGTGTGCATCCCGGTCCATATGATTCCAACACTAGCAAGAAGCCAGCAGTTGCAGTCGCAGCTCTTAAATTGCAGCAAGCATGGGACGCAAAGAGAAAGGCTGAATGGACACTTACGACGTGGCACGATGGTGAGGATCATAGTACCCCACTTGCAGTTTCAGCGAGTGGGACCTCCAATTCCTCACAGAGTATTCTGGTGCCATTCGTTCCGGCGTGCTTCCTGGTCTAGTGTGCATCCCGGTCCATATGATTCCAACACTAGCAAGAAGCCAGCAGTTGCAGTCGCAGCTCTTAAATTGCAGCAAGCATGGGACGCAAAGAGAAAGGCTGAATGGACACTTACGACGTGGCACGATGGTGGACACGTACGATGTGGCATGATGGTGAGGATCATAGTACCCCACTTGCAGTTTCAGCGAGTGGGACCTCCAATTCCTCACAGAGTATTTTGGTGCCATTCGTTCCGGCGTGCTTCCTGGTCTTGTGTGCATCCCGGTCCATATGACTCCAACAATAGCAAAAAGCCAGCAGTTGCAGTCGCAGCTCTTAAATTGCAGCAAGCATGGGGCGCAAAGAGAAAGGCTGAATGGACACTTACTACGTGGCATGATGGTGAGGATCATAGTACCCCACTTGCAGTTTCAGCGAGTGGGACCTCCAATTCCTCACAGAGTATTCTGGTGCCATTCGTTCCGGCGTGCTTCCTGGTCTTGTGTGCATCCCGGTCCATATGACTCCAACAATAGCAAGAAGCCAGCAGTTGCAGTCGCAGCTCTTAAATTGCAGCAAGCATGGGGCGCAAAGAGAAATTCCTGTTTCCTTTTCCCCTTCATTCGCTTCTCTGTAAGTCTTGAATGGAGAAGCATCAGAATGAAGAAGGAAACAAATGAACGGAGAGAATGGGATGGAAGATAAAAGAGAAGCCTTCCCCATCTCCATCTTCTCCTGTCCCTCCCTTCACTCGTGAATTATATTGGAGAAGATTCCATGGGAAGGAGAGTTAACCCTTAGAAGCGATCCGTGAGCTGGGTTAATAGCGTCCACCGGCAGTTTCTACCTCATGGTGTATCTCTTTGGGACACTAACCACCTGTCTAACCTTCCGGAAATTCCAAGGGCAGCGAAGGGATGAGGTGGACGAGGGAAGAGCCGGGTCATGTGTGTCCCATCCCCACCGCTTGGAAGCGTCTGTAAGCTTGGGACGCAAGACCCTGAGAACTTGGATGAAGAAGTCAAGCCTTTGGTAACAGCCTGGCGTTAATTGACTTCTTCTAATCCCTCTCTCCTGTCTCTTTCTTCTCCCAATTAATAAGACACGGAAGTGATGAATGGGAGAAGAGACAGGTAAGAGAGAGACATATGACCCTTTCATCCTTACCATTCACTTCGTTCTCTGTCAAGTCTTTCAAGGAATGGATGGTAAGGATGGGAAAAGGGATGGAGAAGCCCGCCGTGTGACCAAAGGGAACGAATGAACGGAGAGAATGGGGAAAGGCGGGACATCTATTTCTCTTCTTCTTGCCTCACTCATCCTTCGGTCACAGATAGAGGCAAGAGATGATAAAAGAGAAATAGCTTCAGAATCCATTCCTTCGTATCATCTGGATTCTTCATTCGAATTCCTTTTCCTTATTCTCGCGGCTATTCTTTTCCTTTATTAACGCCGCGTCTTTATCATTCTGAATGGACACTTACGACGTGGCATGATGGTGAGGATCATAGTACCCCACTTGCAGTTTCAGCGAGTGGGACCTCCAATTCCTCACAGAGTATTCTGGTGCCATTCGTTCCGGCGTGCTTCCCGGTCTAGTGTGCATCCCGGTCCATATGACTCCAACACTAGCAAGAAGCCAGCAGTTGCAGTCGCAGTGTTTGTTGAATTGCAGCAAGCATGGGACGCAAAGAGAAAGGCTGAATGGACACTTACGACGTGGCATGATGGTGAGGATCATAGTACCCCACTTGCAGTTTCAGCAGAGTATTCTGGTGCCATTCGTTCCGGCGTGCTTCCTGGTCTTGTGTGCATCCCGGTCCATATGACTCCAACACTAGCAAGGAGCCAGCAGTTGCAGTCGCAGTCTGTTTAATTGCAGCAAGCATGGGACGCAAAGAGCAAGGCTGAATGGACACGTACGATGTGGCACGATGGTGAGGATCATAGTACCCCACTTGCAGTTTCAGCGAGTGGGACCTCCAATTCCTCACAGAGTATTCTGGTGCCATTCGTTCCGGCGTGCTTCCCGGTCTAGTGTGCATCCCGGTCCATATGACTCCAACACTAGCAAGAAGCCAGCAGTTGCAGTCGCAGTGTTTGTTTAATTGCAGCAAGCGTGGGACGCAAAGAGAAAGGCTGAATGGACACTTACGACGTGGCACGATGGTGAGGATCATAGTACCCCACTTGCAGTTTCAGCGAATGGGACCTCCAATTCCTCACAGAGTATTGTGGTGCCATTCGTTCCGGCGTGCTTCCCGGTCTAGTGTGCATCCCGGTCCATACGACTCCAACAATAGCAAAAAGCCAGCAGTTGCAGTCGCAGCTCTTAAATTGCAGCAAGCATGGGGCGCAAAGAGAAAGGCTGAATGGACACTTACGACGTGGCATGATGGTGAGGATCATAGTACCCCACTTGCAGTTTCAGCGAGTGGGACCTCCAATTCCTCACAGAGTATTCTGGTGCCATTCGTTCCGGCGTGCTTTCCGGTCTAGTGTGCATCCCGGTCCATATGACTCCAACAATAGCAAAAAACCATCAGTTGCAGTTGATGAACTGCAGCGTGCATGGGACGCAAAGAGCACATTTCATTGGACGAATAGGATGTGCGTTTGCAGTTTCAGCGAGTGGGACCTCCAATTCCTCACAGAGTATTGTGGTGCCATTCGTTCCGGCGTGCTTCCCGGTCTTGTGTGCATCCAGATGACTCCAACAATAGCAAGAAGCCAACAGTTGCAACTTCTTATTCTTCACCCTGAGCGAGCATTAGACGCAAAGAGCAAGTCTGAATGGACACGTAGACGTGGCCTGATGGTGAGTGAGGATCATAGTACCCCACTTGCAGTTTTAGCGAGTGGGACCTCCAAGTCCTCACAGAGTATTCTGGTGCCATTCGTTCCGGCGTGCTTCCCGGTCTAGTGTGCATCCCGGTCCATATGACTCCAACACTAGCAAGAAGCCAGCAGTTGCAGTCGCAGTGTTTGTTTAATTGCAGCAAGCATGGGACGCAAAGAGAAAGGCTGAATGGACACTTACGACGTGGCACGATGGTGAGGATCATAGTACCCCACTTGCAGTTTCAGCGAGTGGGACCTCCAATTCCTCACAGAGTATTTTGGTGCCATTCGTTCCGGCGTGCTTCCTGGTATTGTGTGCATCCCGGTCCATATGACTCCAACAATAGCAAGAAGCCATTAGTTGCAGTCTGTCTATTTGGAGCGAGCACTAGACGAAAAGAGCAAGTTTGAATGGAAGGATACGATGTAGGATCATAGTACCCACTTGCAGTTTCAGCGAGTGGAGCCTCCAATTCCTCACAGAGCGTTGTGGTGTCAAACATTCCGGTGTTGTACCTAGTGTTGTTGGCGCTTCACGTGCCTCCAACAAGAATCCATCAGTTGCAGCATTGTGCGATTGAAGCAAGCATGAGACGCAAAGCGAGTGAATAGACGATGCAAGGTTGCACGTTGGTGAGGATCATAGTACCCCACTTGCAGTTTCAGCGAGTGGGACCTCCAATTCCTCACAGAATATTTTGGTGCCATTCGTTCCGGCGTGCTTCCCGGTCTAGTGTGCATCCCGGTCCATATGACTCCAACACTAGCAAGGAGCCAGCAGTTGCAGTCGCAGTGTTTGTTTAATTGCAGCAAGCATGGGACGCAAAGAGAAAGGCTGAATGGACACTTACGACGTGGCACGATGGTGAGGATCATAGTACCCCACTTGCAGTTTCAGCGAGTGGGACCTCCAATTCCACAGAGCGTTGTGTGTCAAACATTCCGGTGTTGTACCTAGTGTTGTTGGCGCTTGACGTGCCTCCAACAAGAATCCATCAGTTGCAGCATTGTGCGATTGAAGCAAGCATGAGACGCAAAGCGAGTGAATAGAAGATGCAAGGTTGCACGTTGGTGAGGATCATAGTACCCCACTTGCAATTTCAGCGAGTGGGACCTCCAATTCCTCACAGAGTATTTTGGTGCCATTCGTTCCGGCGTGCTTTCCGGTCTAGTGCGCATCCCGGTCCATATGACTCCAACAATATCAAGAAGCCATCAGCAGCAGCCTTTTTAATTGAAGCATACGATACGACATGCCACTGGTTGTAGCAGTGGGCGATTGACACAAGCGTGATACACAAGTGCGGAATACTGGCTTCGGCCCACCCGTGTGTCGCCCAAGAACAACAACAATGATATTTTCAAGGCCAACTCTGCTTGAAGCGTTGCAGTGACTGCCTTCTTCATGTGTTTAGCTGAACCAGTCGCAATGGTTCTTTGTGTATATCAGAACCGTGTTTCATTCCTGCGTGCATATGCATCCAGACATTGTTTAAGCATAGTCTACCGAACAAGCCGCCAGCACTAGATGTTATCAATCCGTTTACTTTCTAATGTTAAAACAAGTTGCACCTGTGAGACTTGCTTGACCTTCATGTTATATAGTTGGAGGGCACACAAGATCTTTTTGTTTTGCTTAGCGCCTCCTACCTTGTAAGATACTCGCTTCTGTCTTCTACGAGAAAGACGTGGCGACAGGCGTCCACCCCGCCGGCGCCCCTGTCGCCACCGGCGTGGACGGCGCCGTGGCGGCAGGCGCGGCAAAGAAATTTCGAGACGGTCCGGTTGCCAAGAGTGTTGGGGAAATTCAGAAATCCAAAGATCTTTTTGGTCAGAATGACCTGTGGCGGCAGACTGACTGAAGTGTTTGGCAGGATTCTTCTTCAGCTTTTGCATGAAGACAGCGCAAAGAGGTGCGATCGAAACACACTTGGATGAGATTGGATAAGGTTTTGTGAGCACACTCCCAGCCTGAGTCTGTACATGGTTTCGGGTAGACCCTGGTTTTGATTGTGACTCGGGTCATTGTGCTGGCATGCTTGTGGACAATGATCCTTGTGGCTGGATTTGCTCCAAATTCCACCTGCCTTTTCATTGTTTCATTTTTCCGTACACTGCACGTGTCTTAGGGTACGAGTGAGGTCCATTCGAAGTCGATCAGGTGTCCCGCCATGGCTCCACTTAGCCCGAGAAACACTCGTTAGAGAGTCAGTACGGCTTTTAGCTGGTTCTTTCCAACCCTTATCTCGAGTGGCTTTTGGTTTCATCGGAACTCACCAACTTTTGTTTTTTTTTTCCCGCAACCTTTGAAGGGAGAGAGGACACCACGGTGAGCGAAACCTTTGAAAGGCAATCTGGCGAAAGCCAAGGGCCCAAGGGGTTGGAGGAGTTTCACCTAGCAACTCGCATCCAACCTGGCCGCTTCAGGACAACAACCGCGATGTGGTTGCCTTTGAGGCGCGAAAGGTAGCTTCCGATGTTTTTGTTTTCCTTCTTATTTTCTTTTCCCCCCGGATTCGATTTGGGGGGATGTGCCAAAGGCAATCTCGTTCTTTCCGAGGCAATCCTTCTCTTTGCCGTTGGTCTGCCGGGAAAAAGAAACACAACTCGTCAGTGATGGCTTGTCTCCAAACACTTGGCCGAAGATGCGCATGGACAATTTCAGCGCCGAAGGGTATGTTTTCAAGCAACATGATTTGGTTTCAAGTTCAAGGCTCAGCCAACAGCCTTAATTCAGGCATACGCGCATGATTCGTCCAGAACAAGACAACCTCTTTCGGCTGGGACAACAGGCACCCATTTGGGCTGACCGTGAGCAGGTTGCTATAGCCGTGGGAGCAAGGAAGCGGCTTGATCATACCACTCAACCAAGTTGCGGGTGTGCGGGGGCGGGGAGGGGGGGGGGCTAAGATACCACTCGTGGCCGACTGGGAAGCAGGACGGCCTTCACTAAGAACGGCGTTGATCAAGCTGTCCAGGATCTGGCAGCGGTGTCATAGCTGATCTTCTGGACTGGATCGGCAACGACTTCAAGCAATGGGGTCATGGCCGTCCTCGAGAACGTCGGTTCGCCCACCGAAAAGGGCTCCCTTTCTCTTTTTTTTCCACCCTCCGAAGTGGTTTTTTTAACCCTTCCTTTTTTTTCAACCCTCAAACCCTGCTTGGGAAGCATCTGTTGGGAACCTTGTTTCTCCAACCCTGAGACATCCTTTCTTTTCAACCCATCACCTTGTTTTTTCACCCTCTGCCTTGTTTTTTTCACCCTCCGCCTTGTTTTTTTCACCCTCCGCCTTGTCTTTTTTCACCCGAGAGCTTGCTTGTTTCACCCCGTAACCTTGTTTTTCTCACCCTAAACCTAAAGCAACCTAAGCCCGCCCCGCACCCAACCCAAACCAACCCTAGGCCCGCCCTAAGCCAAACCTTGCCAACCCTCAAACCAGCCAAAGTCTAAATCAATCTCAAACCAGCCAAACACGCCCAAACCCACCCTATATCCACCCTACACTAAATCACGCTAAACAAGCCCTAAGCAAACCAGAAACATCTCTTGTCCAACCCTAAACCCACCCCAAGCCAAGCTACACCCACCCTACACCACCACTGACCTACTCGAAACCACCCTAAAGCATACATAACCCACCCGACCCTAAACCAACCCTAAATCAACAAACTAAACCAACCCCAAACCAACAAGCCAGTCCTGAACCCGCCCTAAACCCACCCTACACGAACTCTAGACCTGCCCGAACCTTGATCCAACCGTAATCCCACCCCACACCTTAAGCTTAGCCTAAGCCAACAATGAACCCACCCCAAACCCAGCTAAACCCCAATCCCACCCTAATCTAGCTTTAACGCAACCCCAAGCCCAACCTAAACCAACCCTGAACAGACCCACCGACCCAAAACCAACCCTCAACCCTAAAACGACCCTAAGCCAATCCTAGCCCAATCCTAAACCCACTCTAAACCGAGCTTTAACCAATCCCAAACCACCCCGAAAACCAACCTTAAAGTCAAGCCCCGCAAAAACCAACCCTAAACCAACCTTGCCCCCACCCTAAACTCACCCAAAAGCAACCCACACTAAACTCAAAAACCAGCCCTACACCAACCCTGACCAACCCTGAGCCACTCCAAACCAACCCTAAACCAACCATAAGCCCACCCTGTACCAACCATGAATCCACCCTGATCCAACTCTAAGCGCACCCTGAGCTTGACCCAACCCTAAATCCAGTGAAGCCAACCCTAGGCCAACCGCAAAACCAATCCACATCCAAGCCGAAACCAACCGCAAACCCCACCCTAAACCATCCCAGACCAACCCTGAACCAACCTACATCCAACCCAAAACAAACGAACAACATACCCTTAAAAACCCTAAGCCCACCTGAAATCAAGCCACCCCAAATCAACCCTAAGCCACCCTTGAGCGACCCCAAGGCTCCCCTAGCGCAACCCCAACGCCACCCTAGACATGGACAAACCGCAAACCCGCCCTGAACCAACCCTACACCAACCCTAAACTAACCCTACAGCCACCACAGACCTACTCTAGACCACCTAAACCAAACACAAACCCACCAAAATCCTACTCTAAATCAATCTAATCCAACCCTACACCCGAAGCCGACCCCAAACCCACCTCAAACAGATTCTAAGCCAACACTAAATCCACCCAAAATCCACCCTGAAGCCTTTCGACACAAGCCCTAATCCCACCCTAAGCTAACACCATGTAAATCCAACCTTTTGTCCCAACCCTGACCACACCCTAAACCCATTCTAAACCCACCCGTAGCCAACCCTAAATCCATCCCAAACCAACCCTAAACCAATCATAAACCCACTGTAGACCCATTCTCCAAGCCAAAAACCCACCCTCATCCAACTTTGAACCCACCATATACCCAGCAGACCTGCTCGAAACCAACCTTAAACTTAAACCTTGCCCCCAAACCAACCCTAAACCCACCCTCAACAAACCCTACCCCGCCTCTAAACCCTTCCTACACAAACCTAATCCTACCCCAAACTAGCCTTAAATCTGAGGTCGCCCAACCTAAACCAACACAAAACCGACCCGAACACAAAACCGTAAATTCACCCTTCCCATCCGAAACCAACCCTAAACCCACCACCCTAAACCAACCCTAAATCCAAAACCACTCAGAAACCAACCCAACCCTAAACCGTTGCTTAGTGCAGTTGCCGCAGGCGTCGGCCACAGGGTTGGCAAAAAAGAAATGGAGGGTTGAAAGGAAGAGGTGGAGGGTCAGAAAGAAAGGGGGGAGGGTTAAAAAAGAAGGGGGGAGGGTTAAAAAAGACGGGGGGAGGGTTAAATTGAAAGGGTGAAGGGTTGAAAAAACAGGGAAGGGTTGAAAAAAAAGGTTTGGAGGGTGAGAAAAAAGGGTTCGCCCACCGAAAACGGTGCCAGCAAACGACACGTCTGCGGAACCCTGGCTACTCCCGAATCTGAAGGGTCTTTTTGGGACTTGGCTCTGGGTCAAAGTAGGGATTCCCAAATCTGGAACCCTGGCAGGGGGATGCATGGACGACCGGTCCATATCCTGGTGGTGGCTTTTTGGCTCATTTTGGATGAACTGCGCGGGTTCCCACCCGGGTCTCAGGCCGCCTCGGCCGAATCGGAGGTGCCGAAAGCCGAAGCGGAGGAAGCGGAGGAAGCGGAGGCCCTCGAGGCCCTCGAGGCCTTCGAGGCTTTTGGAGAAGGATGGGCTGAAGGGGACTTTGAAGTGGAAAAGATGGCCTGCTGATGAAGATGCCCGAATGGCTGGGGACAGGGCAAGTTGCAGGGAGTTTTCTTCCACGATTTCGGATGACTTGGAATGGAATGTCGAATGGAACAAGCAGCAGTTGGGACGCATGAGGGCAGAGTTCAGCTGACCCCTTGTTGGAGCACAGGAGATGTCTGCAAGAATGCATGGATGCCCCCCATATGGCTATGGGTTGTAAAGTAGCTGGACCTCAATAGCAGGGGCACCGATTCTCGTGCCCTAGCAAAGCCGATTCTCGGTGAATCTGGGGCCTGGTTGATCCCTTCCCTCCTTCTGGCCAGTTCAGTGAACGCATCAGGTATTTATTTGTAAGACAACCCTCGAGACACATGTGCTAAGATGCCAGGTGTGATTTTTGTCAGCAAAGCTGGTGTCTGCGAGCTTTGCCTTCCATTGTATGTTGTTCCTCAGGCTGCTGTCCCACGACGTTAGGACAAGGAAGGACAAACGCGCATCCCTGCTGTCTTGAGGAACTTTGCCCCCGCACCGCTTTTTGTTGGCAACCCTTCCAGACTGGAAGGGCTGGCTGGCTTGAAGCGTACATGGGGGTTTGTTCCAAAAAGAAATGCTTGGTTTTGTTTCTGCTCATCTCTAGCCCCTTTAAACGAACCCCAAATGGACCCGTGCCTCCAAACAAACATGAGAAACGCACACGAGGAGCGGGCGATATTGCAGCGGTATCGGTTTTGGGTGGGCCTCTCTAGTTTTTGCAGGCGGGTAGACCTCATTTTTGGTTTATGGATGTTTTCCAAGGAAGGAAAGGAACGTGCAACAGGAGCTCCATTGACTCCCATGACCATATTTGTGTTTCGTGTTTCCCCCTCCACCTTAACCCGCTTTATATAAGCTCACCTCAACGCGTGCCTTCGAAAACACGTCCGGGGCGCCCCCCTCCATGATGTTCTTTGTCAGCTGGAGCACTGGCAGCCAGCGAGCGAGGAGGTGGGGAGGTTTGGGTTGGGCTGGTTCGTGGATTTCTCATGGTGTTCCCAACCAGGGTTCCACTTTTTGACTACCCCAAAATTGATTTCAACCCAGTGGTTGGTTTTCCCTGAAGGACTGCTGCACTGCTGGGTGGAAGTGTACCCTGTGCCGTCAGCAAATGACCACAAGTTCAACGCAGGGACATTTCATGCCCTGCGTTCTTGAGTTCAGTTGCCCTCCTCAAAGACCACGTTCCGCTTTTCCATCTCGTGGAAACGAGTGCACGGCGAGTCGCCAGGATTGGCTAAGAAAGAGGGGCCCCTCTGCAAGCCAAAATGCCATGTACAGTCAAGGCAAGGCGATCAGTTGCAAGTCCCAAACAAACTTCTTGGGACCCCCCCCCATGGCTAGCCCAAGTTAGCTTTCTTCGAAGAGAGTTGGAGTGATAACTTTGAACAACCATTTGACCTGGACCCTTTGAAAAGGGAACCATGCTTTTTTTTGCTACCATGCTTCCTTTTGCCTTTTCCCTGCTGGGCAGGAAGCTCCTGAGGCCGACGGGTCTCGCTCCAACATCAAGCCAGATGTTCTACATCAAGCAGACATTTCTTAAAAGTTTCGGTTTCAAGCACTCTTTCCAATTGGTTTCCCATTGGTTTCAGACATTTCAAGCTTTGGGAGACAGTTTTCTACTCTTTTCATTTTGGATGGGTTTCCCCCCCACTCCGAAACTTGTCATCCCCTAGCTTTCAGGGGCCCCACAACCTGCAAGAGCCGGAGAAAGGGCTTGGAACGCCTGCCGCACCAAAAATGGGGGACGTGTGTTTTTAATGAAAGCGCCACGTTGGTTGGGTTCGCCGAGGTGTCTTTTTTGGGTTGTTTTTAAGTTAGAACATCGCTGGCCCAGCTCAAACACATTGGCACAAGGCACCTCCAAACCTGAAAAAATGAGCCTCACCTGGACGATCCAAACCTTGATACAAGGCACCTCTGCTTGACCTGCTTGTTTCACAATCGGCGAGGGCCATCGTGTTTTTTGAAAGGGCACCTGTGTTGTGGTGCGTACCCTCAACATGGATGCTTTCCACTTGATCCCTTTAAAATCGCACGCTGAAAGAAAGACGCACCCATTTGTTCGTCTCGCTTACCCCGCGCCCCCCCTTTTCCTCTTCACACTTGCCAGTTGGAGCATGGTAGGTAATGGTTGCTTTTGGGGGACCCCCCTTTGCGGACACGTGAAGTTGCACGGGACACATTTCCAGGGGTGGGTTATGTCCGCCTTGGCTGGACCAGAAAAACAAGAGTGAACCATGACCCTGGTCTCTTGCAGAGAGGCCGAGGATGCCGCACTGTAATTTTTCACATTTTCCGCAATTGCAATCTACCAGGATTCCAGTGGAATCTTTCCGTTGCCTTGCTCCAGTTGAAGAGGCTTCAGGGACCTCTATAATTCCCATAAGCCTTTGTTAAAAAATGGTCTACAAGCCATGTTAAGTTATTTGTGATGAAAAGTGGTCCCGTATGAAACATGCCCAAGAACATCACTGAAAGATTGATGCCACCAGGATGTTGGATCGCCAGCTCATAGCTTGACCCTGGGGTGTGAAATGGAATTTGAATACGTTCCAGGAACAAAGGCATGGGCTTCTCGAACCACCAACGTCAGCAACCATCTCCGTGTATAGACATGCCTCCAACTATAGAAATATGCCACGATCACAAGACAGCTTGGGAGCTTAGTGAGCTTGGGTCAGGTGCTTCAAGATTCCGAGTTTTTGTTTGGGAAATGCCCTTCACAATCATTTGCCCAGATGAATGCCTGGAGGCGGAGGTGGAGGGTTCGGGTGACGGCTCCGACGATGAGCTGGCCCGCATCAACCGCACCCTGCGAGACACGGAGGCGAGCTTTGGAGAGTCGGAGCCCGGAGTGATCTGGAGCTGTTGGTTTCCTTTCTCAGGGTACATGTGGGCAATCATCTTTTACCAGCTGATTTAGACAATTCTTTCCGGGACACTGTTTTGCAGATAAGCATCGAACATCCAGGTTGGACATGCTTTCCTTTGGACTTGCCTTCAAGCACCATCCAAAAAGGGGGGGAGGAATCAGGTGCGAAGGCTCGCAGACCATATATGAAGTCACGGGAGGAAAGCAATGCACAACAAGAGGGAATCCAACCCAGACCCAGATGGAACCATATGGAAGAAGGAAACTAGACTTGGTCCCATTCCTTGAGGCTAGGTTTTTTAGGGTCTGGGGGTAGTTTCCATTTAACGCACTAAAACCCAAAAACTTGTCGCGGGGGCACCAGAGAGAAAAAACAAAATCCGTTTCGCGCAGGCCGCCCTGGCGGCTTTGGAGCAAGACTGCGGGATGGAGGCCTTGCGGTGACGCCGCTTCTGTTTTTTTTTTGGGGGGGGATTTTTTCAGGCTTTACGGCCCCTGAACGTGGGTGGATCTTCAGGTTGTTCGGGCTGGGAAACTCGGGTGTTTTGAAATTGATCTTTAAGTTGGGTTCGCATTTTGAGGCTGGAAGTTGCTTTTTCGTGGCATGGCTTTCATGGATCCAGCAGGACGCTTTTCTGAACATTTCCCCGGTGACTTCAAACACGTGGCTGTGGTTGTCAAAACCAATGGGATACCATTTTGGGGTAGGTGAATTCACCACCCATTTTAGTCCATTTTGGTGGGGCTTGGGATGTTCTCAGGGGGTACCGGATTCTGACCCATGGCCAATGTCACTTGAGTGAACCCAGCTTCAGGGAACACTGTTAATCGGCCCTGAAAGGAGAACCCAGCTACGAATAGAGGGTGGCCAAGGTTTTGTGCAAGGGTTTGTTGCCCTTTGCAAGGGACCATTAAGGGCAGGGGGTTCTAACAGTTTGACTCTTGCTTCTGAACCGCCCTCACAAAGACACAAAGAGGAATTTCCTGTGCCATGGACGCATCCCCCACTGAACGGGGGCGGGGGAACGCCTTTGGTTCATTTGGGAATCGGTTCTTTGATCCTAAGCACTGCTGCGCACATGACTTCAAGCCACTCCGAACAGGTTTTGGCTTGCGACCCAAAACCTTTGACGGAGGTTCCTTTCACAGAGATCCCGCATCTCAGATCGGTGAAGGGGTTTCATTCAGCCGGACATTGATGGAGTTGTTCTCTCTCTCAGGCACTAAGTGGGAATTTTTGGAAACAAAGGGGGACCTCACACATGATGCATGTTTTTGAGCTGGAGATTCCTTGTTTTGGGTTGGCGCATCAGTACAAGTCACTGAAACAGTTCCAAGCCAAACAATCTGATGCAATGGGTCAAAATTGAACCACCAGGGGACCGCAGGTTTTAGTTCTTGATTCTATTTGCCAGGGTTCCATTTTGGGTACCTAATTTTGACCCACAGCCATGTGAACCGAGTCGCTTGCCCCCGTCGCCTGCCCCTGTCGCATCCTCGAGTCGCGGAGTTATAGGTGCCTGCCACGCCAGACGACCCGCTCGCTTTTTCGCCCGACGACGTGCAAGATGCGGGAGACGCACAGAAGGCCAGGATGCTGCTGACACTTTGTGCTGCTGACCAGCTGAACGGTAGATTGTTGCAGAGGCTGAAGTCTGGCCGGTTTGTGTGTGGTTATGGTGCCATGCTTATGCTTTGCGTGAAGGTTTGTCAGCACTGAACCACCAAAACGTGGAACTCCTTTTTTAGGAGGGTTGCCAGGGACAAACATGGGAAACCCGCCAACCCATCATGAAGAATGATATTTAGCCAATGTTGATACCCCAACGCAAACAAAACACCCGGGGCCAAAGTGTGTTCGATGCATGGGAATTAAGATTGGGGGACCTTTATAGGATCGATGTTTATTTGATTTATCACCAAGCAATCACGTGTCTCGGATTTGTGGACACCCCGTTTTTCCTTGCAGGATGTCGATTGGTGCCTCTGGGGTTTCCTCGACAGATGGTGTCATTAAGTCTGTGATTGAAATGTGTCCCCTTGTCTGACAGGGACATGAGGACTGATGTAGGGACCAGTCCAGGAAGCTGGAAGGCAACACAATCACTTTGTGGGTTCTCCTTTTTGCCATAGGAAAAAACAATCACATGTTCCCCCCCTTTTCCGGGCCCCCCCCTCCCCTTCCGGGTTTTCCGGCTTTCAGTCGCCGTCTTTTTTGCTCGGCGGTCACGAGTCGAGGCGCCGCAACTGAAAGTGGCCTGGCCCAAGAACGGGGAGGCGCGCTTTTCGGCACCAGAACGGAAGCCCTCGTTTTGCGGTTTGTTCCGCGTGGAGTTTTTTTTTGTGGAACCAATCACAGGTGGACATTTGTGGATGGACATGAATTCAGTTAGGTTTCCTTCGGATGGAAGTGTTCTTGGATTGAGTGGACATTCGCCTTTGGTTTGCCTTGGGTCGAAACTTGAGGTTCTGATGAGTCGCGTGCGATAGTCAATTTCACTCACAAAGGACGCATTGCCATGCCCCAAGAGTTTTCGACGGAAGGCACACGTCGGTGTTGCCGGTCGAAAAAGGCTTCCCTTTTGAGGATGGTGCAAATGAAAAGAAGCCAACGGTAACAGGACACAGAGGTGTGGAGGGCGTTGGTTTCTTTGGACACCTGTGGTTGAGGCGATGCTCGGAGGTTTGGCTTAACCTGATGTTGTCTTTGGTGGGGTCCACTTCCACGGTTCTTGGACAAAGGCGAAGGGCACCCTGAGAAGCAGGGACCCTTAAAGAATACATCAGTCAAAAAGTCACCTCCCTGAAGATATTTCTTTTTGGGCGAGTTTTTTTTTTAGGGCTTGTATCATTGTCACTTTTAGCATTTTCACGCCAGTGTCCAACGCGACATTCGGCGGCAACTCCCGCCCACCGCGTCGGTGCTACCTTGCAGTTTGCCCGGTGCACTTCGTTTGCTCGCTCGCTCGCTCGCCTTTTGCTTTGTTGCTCTGTGCTTGGTGCTGCTTTGCTTCCCGCTTATGCTACTGCTGGGATTATTCGTCTGAAGCAGAATCTGTTTGTCAACTGGCAGCCCTTTCGGTTATTGTTTGTGCCAGCCCAAGGCGCCGCTTTGCCCTTGGGACTGGGGACATTAGGTGGTCTCTTCTTGTTAGTGGGTTAGGCCAGGATCTGTGCAATCCTTTCCGAAACTCTGTTTCAAACCCTTTCGCAAGAGGGAATCCACCAGGACAACCGTTGCGCCATCCGCAACCGGAGGCATGGCCGTGCTCGCGGCCGCGGATCGATGGGAAGCTGCTGCGAGTTCTTCCCCTCACGGCAAGGCGCGAATCCTCCCCTGCTGCGTGTGGGAGTGGGGGGTGAAAATAAGGCTTTTGACAAGCTTGGCGCCGTCATAATGTTCTCATGACAGACAGATGACAAACGCATTTTGCTACATATGGACATGATTTTAATGTTTGAACACCACATACACCTCCGTGCAAATTATGTCCACTAGAGTCCACATATAGTTGTCCACATATAGTTGTCAGATACCTGCTTCTCACGTGGTACAGCATGATTGTACGTGGGATCGGCTCATTGGCTTGTACGACATTGACACATCTGGTTGTCTCTCCGAAATCCGTCCGACCAGGATCTTGTTGATCAACTTGACTTGGCACCCCTGATTGCCCCACCCAGTCATTAACTCAGGGATCCTAAAAGAAAAACCCGGCAACAATAAGTTGGGGGGGGTCGGGTGGGGGGGATAAATCAGGGGCGGACATTGGGTGAAGTCGCAAGCTCAAGGTGCAGCGTGAGCGACGAATGACAGATAGCAACTGGTGTCAACTGCCGCTGCGTTGGGCTACTCAAAGTGAGCTTTTTGGGTCTCTCAGAATTCCTTTTGGAGCATTTGAGTAATTTGGAGAGTGTCGCTTTTGTACGCTGAGTCAACCTGGTCACTTGGGGGGCACTTGTTTGATCTTCCAAAGCTGCATTGGAAGCCAGGAAGCCGGCCGAACTAAGTGGGGGAGACACAGCGGGTTTGCTAAGCTGCAAACCGTTGTGAGACTCCAACCCACACTTAACGCTGGTGAAGGGGAGTAGTCACTTGGCGAGTCTTTGGTTGGGCCCTTTTCGCCTTTCCTGCCGCAAGCCTCCGGACGTTTTTGCTGGTCAAGCTTCACCCACCGGCTTGCAGCTCAGCTCGCTCCGCTTCGCCGGCCTCGCTGAGCAGCGCTTGCACGCACGCCAGATCCAAAGAGAGCTCCAAGCAGCAGACAAGCAACGGAAGCTACTATGCCACAGGAGACACTGAGAAATAAAGCGAGAGAGAGAGAGAGAGAGAGGAAAAGTCGCCACCGAAGGAAATCTCACTCGGGGCAGATCCGTTCCATTTCCGGCAACATGAACTAGACGCATTCAGGCTTCGGGCTGTAGCATGCCGGACTGGCCACGCCTGACGCGAAAGCAGACATGTCTTCCTTTTGCCTGAACGAAACGCCTGGTATTTGTCTCGCCCGCCCCAAAATCCCAAACCCCAAAACCGCCCGCCGCCTCGCCTCGCCTCGGCCGCCTCTTCCCTCCCGCGAGAGAGAGCCATGGCGGACCGCACCAAGCGGCTCCGTGAGGCGCGCATGCGGCAAGGGTTACGTGCAGATGACCAGATAGTCTTTTGGTGAGAGATGCACACCTCAACCAGCTGAACACATGGTTGTGGGAAATAGTCGGGGCTTGTTCCCACTTCTGGAATACCAAAGAACCTCCCGAAGACGTCATCATTTGGCAGGTCTTCCAGTGCTGCTGCTGGGATTCATGTTTGTGGTTGGGTTAAGTTGTTCTTTGGTTGTTGGGCTACTGGGTTGTTGGGCTGTTGTTGCCTTTTGCTGTTGGGGCTGCTGTTGGGCTGCTGGGCTGCTGCGCTGGTGGGCTGTCGGGCTAATGGGCTGTTGAGCTGTTGGGTTGTTGAGCTGTTGGGCAAAGATTTGTAGCTGTTGGGCTGTTGGGTTGGGCTGTTGGGCTGGAGCTGTCAGAGTTTTTGACTGTCATCTGCTTGTTGGGGGGTTTAGGGTTGTGGTTGGGCTGGGTTGTTCTTGGATTGTTTAGCTACTGGGTTGTTCGGCTACTAAAAAAGCCCTGGCCTCGTTCTTGAGGATGAGTGGCGCTAGTGGAGCCAGTGACCGCAACCATAAGCCTTGTTCTCGGGCACGGGCGCAACATGACCCACTTGCGGACCCCCAGGCTATAGATCTTCGCTCGCTTTTGGAGCAGCTCATTTTTCCATCTGACTTTTCCCACCTTCCGCTACATTCCAAATCTTTTGGACCCTTTTTTCCAAGGCCTGATTTGTCCGCACTTTTCAGCAACCCCTTTTTCGCAAGCACCCTTGTCTTGGGAAGGTGTTTTCCCTGTGGTACCTCTGGCCGCACGGGACAGGTCCATGATTTCGTTGGGCAGACCAGTTGCCTTCTTCTGTGTGGTTGCCAAAAAAGCGGGCACCGCTTCGGGCTTCGTCACCTTTGGTTTCTCCGTGCAAGCCCTTTGAAGAGCGTTTCGCGGGAATGCTCAGGTTCCCAGCTAAGTTCCCAAGGCTCTTAGGAGCCTTAGGGAGCTCGGACAACTGGAGACGCAGAGACGTGCTCCTGGGGTGTACCTGTAGGTTCGCTCAAAGTTCCCAGTCCATGGTGCATTTGGGCGGGTGCTTCGCTAAATTGCCCACAAGCTTGAGGGGACTCGCTCATGTGGTTTGACACTTCGGAGTAATCTGCAGCACTATACCAGCCAAAGGCATCACTTTTTACGGCTGTTTGGAACGGATCTTTGGACTTCAACTGTTTGGCTGACACAGGTAGGAGTTTCCGAATTGGACCCACCGAATTTATTCACTTGCAGCGGGGTCCTTTCAGCAGCCACGATTCCGTGGATGACTGAATTCTGATTTTCTGGCCCCCCCCCTTTTTGTTTTTGAAGTTGACATGCTGGTCGATGCGAGGCACTGCCAGATGTGACCAAAGCCGTGCGCAACCAGAAGGCGAGGGTTTTGTATTTGGTTCCTTTTCCTTCTGCAAGTCTCCCCTTAAGGATTCATTTGAGGTTGAAAGCTAGCTTTGATCCAAGTTCCTTGTACAGCAGGCGGTTGTTGGATGTATCTTTCCACCGGAAGCCCTGAACTTTGCCTCGAGACCAGGTCTTCCATGACGAGGCCAACACAGTGTGGACCCACCTCAGACGAGGGCTCACGGACCTCAAGAAGGACCGAGCTCTTTTGAGTCCTGGGGCTTGCCCCGGGGGGGGGAGATGGAGTGTTAGGAACTATGCGACCAGTCTGGGGATAGATAGCAACACTCACCACAACCAACCAAGAACCACAGCAACAGCGGGGGGGGGGAATGGGGGAATGGGGGGAGGGGGGCGTGGCTTGGGCGTTCGGGTTGTGGGGGTTTTGGGTTCTGGGCATCATTTGTCCATTGGAAACAGGACCCGCCAGCATCCACGGTGAGCATGAATCAGGTTTTGTATTGCCTTTTAGCACCAAACAGGCGGCGGGTGGGGATGTCAAGATCACCCGCCAAGTCACGTGGGTGCTTGGCGTCTGACAGCTCGAGGAGCCTGAGAAGCTCGACTCGCTGGAGCTGCGCGGGGCTCGGAGGGAGTGGTTATGGGTCAGTGGCTTGGGTCGGGTGAATGCCAAGGCCTGGGCTCTTTGAATAGGGCAACTCACTGGTCAAGGCTTCCAGCCGTCTTGCCTAAGCAACCCCCAAGAATACCCAGAAAAGCGACCCAAAAATCCACACCAACCCCACACCCCACGGGCTCAGCGTCAGAATTGGGGACTGAGATGTTCGACCGGCTTTGTAAGTGATCTGGGGGAACATTTGCTTCCCGTGCAACCGGGTTAGTAACCTGCTGACCAAGTGTGTGTTCTGTCGACCCCTCCTTTTGTTTCAGATTGTAGATGGGGACCGTGTCATTGGACGCTTGCACATGCGGACACTTCTCTCCCTTCACATCACCTTGGGACGAACATAGCTCTCATCGGTTTCCTTTGGTTTGCTCCCCCCCGAGAAAGAGTCGAGTTTCCGCTGGCACTGGCACCCAAAAGTGCTGATCGGTTCTCATGGGAGCAACACTTGCTCGCCGGTGGATCTCTCCGCGAGATGCAAAATACTTCGAGATGGGATCGGTGAAGGTTCGAAGCAAATGAGGCATAGGCGTTTCTGGCGACATGGGAATTCTGTGAAGCCCCCAACTTCCTCACAAACGCTTCGCGCTGCTTGCCTTGGCCAGTCAGCCGAATTCTTCTGGTTGGAAGTGCTGTGTGTTGCTTTGGTTTGAAGTGCTGTGTTTGCTGAGTGCATGTTCACGCATTTCTACATGGCCCCAGGGGCCAGAACTAGAGATATGCGTAGTTCGAAGCCACAGCTACAGGGGGCGGGGGCTGCCGCCACAGAGACCAAGAGACCTTCAGGGGCTTGCTTCCTCAGGGAAGGGCGCAGGAGGGTCGGAGGATGGAGCTGGCAGCGGAAGTATAGTTGAAGGGGTTCGGTCCAGCGCATGGTAACCCTGGTAGGTGTGGCTGTTCGCTTCAAATTGGCTGGGGGTGGTCGTACAGGCCTGTCTCGCTTGGAAAGATCCCTGTGATCTACAGACGGATCCGACCACTGCCCGGCTTGGGGCATTCTCATTCCCCATACCCTTACGGTAGATGCGGGCAACATATTGTCCGCTTCAAGCGTTCATAGGGCAATCATCCCAACGCAACTCCGGCGAAACTCAAGTCGCATCCTGAGGCCATCCGACAGCACCATCGACGATGTGTGGGACAGCGCCGCGCCGACCGCTCGTCTAAGTCTGAAACTGGAGTTGTTTCCCGCCCACCTACCTCGAACCTAGGGGGTGACTTTGACCTTGGTAAAATTGGGGGGCCGTAAAGGTTGTTGAGTCGATGGAGCCGGCCCGAGGTGAGGGTCAACTTCCATGTTGTTCTTTCTCAATGTATTTCCGGTTGTGGAGCTTTACCGGAGCGATGTTCAACAGGGTTTAACAGATTTGGTCGAACAACAAGCTTTGCGTTCGGTTCGTTTCGCCGACTCATTTTCGCGCAATTCAGGAGTTCATGCTGGACCTCATGGTGGACCATCCCAAGTACTCCCGGCAAATCCTGGACCGGCGAAGTTCGATCGCATCGGATTCGTATCGGTCTCACGTTTCCCAAAAAAATGGAGCAAGCGTTTGGCGCCGAGTTTTTCAATTTGTCTCGAAACGTTGCCCCATTTGGGGATCTTGGGATCCCTCCCACCCTCCGGCTCTTGACCCTCCTGCAACAGGCGCCTGAAGCTCCTTTTGAAGAGCCTCATGTTGGCTTCCATGTTTAGTTTTTAGGGGAGTTCGTGCTGAAGAATGCTTGCCACAGTCAAGGAAGCCGAATTGCAGAGAAGGGCGATCAACCATTTTGTACGGCTTTTGGCAGCTATCACAGACTGCTCTGCCATTCTTTGGAGCCACATGCCTCCTGTCTCAAAGTAGGGAAGTTTACTTGAAAGATCCAATGTTGCATGGGCTGCATGTATGTTTGGTTGTTGCACCGGAAGGACTCCCCCCACTTGGGCGGTTGTCAAAATGCCACAAAGAGGCTCCTTTCTTGTAACCCTTCAAGAAAACCTCAGTGCTCTGCAAGTGTCAAGAGGCTGGGGCTTTGCCCCTCGCCGATCTTGCACCATGAAAAAGTCTTGGCATTTGCACATGCTGTGTTGCTTTGCTTTGACCTACCTACTTGTCTCAGGAAACGAGCAGGTTTCCTTCTCTCCAGCCACAAGTCGGTAAACTAAGACTATCTCTTGATTCTTCCAGTTTGTTTCCTTGTGCCTCTCGCTTCCTCTCGCTTTTAAAGGGCCCTTGCGCTTGTCGATCCCCGCGCTCGAGCTCGCGGTTTCTCGGCTCCGCCAGGACGCGGTGGACTTCCTCCTCTGCTCCGAGAGATGGGCCCAAGCCTTGGGCCGTGTCGGTGGGACGAGTCCAGCCTTGGGCGATGGAGTTGACCTGGGCGGCGGCGAGTTCAAAAGATCCCGGGATTTGCCAAAATGGGTTGCCCTGGTAAAAAAAAGTGGAAACATGGGTACCAAGACCTGCGGCTTGCCCCTGGCGGTTTAATTTTGAGCCACACCCAGCTGTTTGTGTTTGGTTCCAATGATTTTCTCGCGGGTTCAGTGGGTTTCTGCGATGGCAATGACGCACTCAGCCACCGCACTGGAGCTCAGGTGATGTTTCTAGGGACCACTCGGCCGCCATGAAAACAACGGGGGAAAATCGGTTCGCCAGAGAATGTTTCAGGCGATCTTCCCGCCATTAAAAATTGACCAGACTCGGGGGAACCACAAGAGGCAGCGACTACCATTGAGGTCATTCCATATGGCCACTTGCGCGCAGGGCGAAGGCTTCCTGCAGGCCAAGCAGAAGCATCGGCTCTCCCTCTGGCCCGGAGACCCGGTTTCTCCCGGAGCTTCGCCGAGGGTCTGAGAGCACTCGCTTCTCGCTTGACATTTCAAAAGAAAAGGGCTTCACTCACCTTTTGCGCTTTTTGCCGCTTTTTGTCCAGGGTGTCCTTGGCTTCCCTTTCGCGGGCAGCATTTGTTTGACTCTTTGCAGGGGGTCTGTGACTGGCGTGGGGATGGAGCTCAAAAGCAAAAAAAAACAAAAGGAGCCTTCGCCAGCTGGAGGAAGCGGTGCCAATAGGAACCCCCTAAAGTGACAAGGTAGTCATGGGGATCCTCAACTTGTGGTATCATAGGAGAAATTATTTTCCACCGCGCACATGCGGATCAAACTCAGGGGACTGATTTGGTTTTTTATGCACAACTTGGGGTTGGTTGTTGCCCTGTTCTTGAGCCACACAAACAAATATGGGCATGTCTTTTTCCGATTCCAAATTTTGGGATTGTTTTAACGGGATAAAGGCACCCCCACGTTTTTGGGCCGCCCAATCTTGAGACATGGGGGGGTTGATCAAAGGTCCGTAAATCATGGGATGACCCATCAGGGAAACCACAAAAAATGGATTTGATGTTTTTCCCAACACCACAAAATATGTGACTTGTCAACCAGACGGGAAAAGTTACCCTTGGTCAAAGCTGTGGGCCCTAAGCGGAATATTGATCAACCCCCACACCCAAAACAAGACGCGCCAGGAAGCTGAAGGGCAAGAAAGACCAGGAGCCCTCGCCGGCCCGGGCCTCAGCCGAGCCCGAAGAAGCGTCAAGGCACGGGTGTCCTACGTCTTCGGATTGCGTGGACGGATCTGGCTATGAAATTTAGTGGGGAGCCACGTACAGAGTGGTTTGTGCACATAAGTCTCCACCCAAATGATGCCCCCCAAAGGGCCCCCTATCAAATTGCACACTGGCACGTATGCTGTACATATGCATAGTGGCGTATATAGGCATACATTCAATCGATATTTGTACTTGTGCACGCAAACACACACACACACACACAAGCACACCTGGTACCCCGCCTTCAACAAGGCCTACCAACCTCCTCGTTTCGGGTGCTTACTGGCTCCAACCCCACCCAGCAAATCTGCAGGAAATGACATCCCTAGCTTCAACCTCACTGATCACATCTGAGTACAGTTCCATAACCTGGGTTCCAGAACAACTGATTGGCTTCAAGTTCATCCAAAGCCCAACAAAACAAAACACACAAATCAACCAAACCATCTTACCCATACCACGGCAGGGATGTTGTTAGGATGTGTTTGTGTGTATACTGTTTGGCCCAGTGGGAATGATGCGCACCATTTCTAACACATGTGTGACATTTTCTACATGGTCTCGGAATACTTCAGGGAAGAAACTGCTATGGAAAGCAACTGCTCAACGCAAGGCTCCCAAGATCTTCCATTCCAAGGTAATCTCCGCTCATATTGCTCAACATTTCTGAGGCTCTGAGGATGGGCCGCTGTTGCGCAACATATCCATCAAGATTGGTTGCTGGCCAAGTGCAACTTTCCTACTCTGGAGTGTCTAACCATTTTGCAGTGTTTCAATCTGAACATGCAATAGCTCCCGCGACTGCAACATCTGCCGTGGCAAAAACTTTGTCCAAATGATCACGTGCTGTTGGAGCATCTCCAACTTGTTGGATCACTCACCAAGTATCGCACATTTCCGTAGCCACACTTGCTCTGGCAATGAAGATGCACTGAAGTGTACGGTTCCCTACTGTGCTGCGGAGCAAGGCTGGTTCTTTTCTTTAGTACGAAGTAGGTATTTCCAAGGGCTACATACTAGCAGACATAAATTCTCCCATGATCCCTGGGTATTTCGGTTTTGAAGTACCCCACAAACGCCTATATTTGTTTGGGCTGCTGGGCAAAATCTGACAACCCTATAGTATCTCAACCCCCGAGAGGTAGGCGTGCCTTGTCTTAAAGTGAAAACCGTCTTATGGTTGTGCTTTGGTTGGTTGGACATGGAACCAACACGAAAACCGAAGCCATTCTTTGGGGGTGCCCCCAAACAACGGACGAACCCCCAGGTGTCCCTGACCATCCACCTGCTCCAAAATGGCGTCGCCGTGGACGAGCTGTTGCCCCTCACAGCCCGGCACTTGAGCGGTGGCAAGTGGTGAAGCCTCACATGGATGCACAGGGGTGTGTTAACACAGGGGGAATCACATGGGGTTTGATCAATGTTGGTGTTTCTTGCCCTTCAGCTTGGGTTGATCCTATCTAGATACGTGGACCAGGTAGGGTGTGAGGGTTGATCGATATTCCGTTTTGGGCCCCCAGTTTTGACCAAGGGTGACTTCTGCATGCGGGAAACATGATCTTTCTGGTGGCTTTCCCCAATGGTCGTCCCATGTAAAGAACTGTTGTTATCCAGAAAGGGCGGCTATGAGGGCCACCAGTAGAGCCGGCAGAGCCGGTGGGCGGAAGTTTCTAAAGCGAGACAAGTGCCTATAGGAAGAGCTTGACTGTTTTTTTTTGGGTTGCGCTCTTTCTTTGTCTCTTTCTTTTTCTTTCTTTCTTTCTTTCTTTCTTTCTTTCGTTCTTTCTTTCTTTCTTTCTTTCTTTCTTTCTTTCTTTCTTTCTTTCTTTCTTTCTTTCTCTCTCTCTCTCTCTCTCTCTCTTTCTTTCTCTCTTTCTTTCTTTTTTTCTCTCTCTCTTTCTATCTATCTCTCTACACTTCCTCTTTCTCTTTGTCTCTCTCTCTTTCTTTCTTTCGTGCCTTCTTTCTTTTTCTTCCTTTCTCTTTCTCCTTATTTCTTTCTTACTTACTTTCTATCTATCTATCTATCTATCTATCTATCTATCTGCACCTGACCTTGCGAAAGTGCTGCGCCTGCCACGAAATCTGTACTTGGCCTTGCGAAAGTGGCGCTCCTGCCACGAAATCTGTACCTGACCTTGCGAAAGTGCTGCGCCTGCCACGAAATCTGTGCTCGACCTTGCGAAAGTGCTGCGCCTGCCACGCGATTTACACCTTCGTGTCTGTCTTTCTCACTCTCTCTCTCCCTCTCTCTCTCTCTCTCTCCCTCCCTCTCTTTTTCCATTTGATCTATCTATCCATCTATCAATTTATCACCCGACCTTGCGAAAGTGGCGCTCCTGCCACGAAATCTGTACTTGACCTTGCGAACGTGCTGCGCCTGCCACGAAATCTGTACCCGACCTTGCGCGGCCACAAAATACTGCGCCTGCCACGAAATCTGCACCTTAGGCGGCCAAAGTGCTGCGCCTTGCGCGCAAAATGCACCTCAGAAAACGTCTGCGTGAGCATTACAGTGGGCAACATTCCGAGCCCGTGGCGAGACCGTGGCGAGACCGCACGCTGAACAGGGGTACCCTTCACGTGTTTCGCATGTCTGACTCTACTTTTCGTATACGGAAGTTTTCTAACTAAACTTCCTTTGCTGACGATTGTTGTTTGGTTTGCATTTCCTTCCATGAAGGACTCTCACGGAAACCTTTGATCAAACCCCTTTCTTCAGAGCTTCCCTCAGCATCTGTAGCTCTGCACTCAGCTCTTCAAGGGGGAGGGGGGGGGGGAGAAAAACATCAGATCAACATGTTCACTCAGTAGATAGGCCAGGGTTCTGGTCGCCTTTGGTTTTTTGGTTCCCCTGCAAGTCCCTGGCGCTTGTTTGCAAAGTTTAAGGACGTCCTCTTTGCTTCTACAGCTTTCTTGAAGTTGCGTGTGATTCGGTTGCTTTGGTTTTTTGAATGTATACAATGGGCCACTATATGTATGCACTGAGCTATGGATTTTAAGAAGCTCATGCGCTTGGCTTGTGTTTGCTGCTTGGGCGTTTGCGCGAGGAGCACCGTAGTGGCAAGCTTCTTGTGCTATTGATCATGCAGGGTTTGAAGTGGTTGCTGAAACCAATGATGCTAAAATAATATCTGCGACTCGGAACAACATTGATTGCTGCCGTGCTTCACCTTTCATGAAGGAGCGCGTGTGGCAACAAGGGGCTTGGTTGCACCGAGGCTACAGTTCTTAAAAATATGCAGATTCTAAGCATGTTGTGGCCCCACATGAGTGTAGTATCTATTGGCTTGCCTTGTGCATTTACTCTCTATGGTAATTTGATAGGCAGAATACGATAGAATATGTGTGTGTGCCCGTGGCTGTGGCATACAGCTACATTTGTTGAAGGTTAGGGCCAAGGTGCAGCAGCGTCATCAGGCTGGTAGGGTGCTATTGGTTAGCAGAGAGAGTTTAGCTAGTGCCGGAAATGGATACCTCACTTCACTTGTTTGCACAGCTGCGCAGAACATTTCTATGTTCCATCGCTTCTTGTTTTTGAACATGTTTTTGCAGTTAACCAGAAGGTGTCGACCAGAAGGTATCTACTTATCTGCAATTGTTTTAGTGACCTATCCTCAGCAGGTGAAATCCAAGATGCTGGCTCCAGCAAATGTTTCTGATGACCCACAAAGAAGGCAGGCAGGCCCAATCCACTTGACAAGCCATGGTTAAAACTTCGGGCGTGACTGACAATCTTGATTCCTGGCCAGGTCTTATTGGTCAGTCCAAATAAGGGCAGTTATCTTTTGCCTGGAAGAGTTGGAGTCACCCCGTAGATCTGCTACATCGATGTCACACACTGCACACCATCGTTCTCCTACAAGGTCAAAAACTCGAAAAAACACACTAAATTGCTTTGCTTCGAGCAATCCCCGCCCTCCACACTCACGAGCTTACGACCGTGAACACGGTTGTGTGAATCCAAACGTGGTTTTCGAGCGGCTTGGGCCCATGACTGCTGAACAAGCTTTGCGCTGACTCGAGAATTCAAAAACACACGCACACACACAAAGCTATGAGAGGTAGTGGGTGGACATGAATCCCAACCTAAATGATGTTCACCCGCTTCCCCCCCCAATTTTTCCGCATCTTTCTATGGAACGGTGGGTGGCCGCTGGGTTTGGTTTCAGGTTCGTTTGGGGTTGGCTTATCGTAGTACCGTGGACCACAGTTTCTTCTTTTTGGGGCTGTGCCAGTATTATTCCACTCATTCGCAATCATCCTTGACTTGGCTTCAGCCTCATGTGTTCTGAGACTCATTCTGTGATTGTTACGAGGAGAACCAGAGTTTCCATGCTTGCCGCGTTGCGGCATGTTGCTTATAACATCATCTGCAACAAGCTTGACCTCTTGGCATATTGACTGGACAATTCCGCTATCGGAGCAGATTGAGGGAAATTACCATGAGACACACAATGGGTTCCTCGAGACCTCCTATACCTTGCAAAAAATAACAAACATGAGTGTGTTAGGTCACTCGCCGAAAGTTCGACGAGCGTTCACCTTCTGATGGTTGCGCAAGCTGAAAAACAAACGCCAGACGAGTTGTTTAAGGTCGACTCGTCGAAAGTCCGCAGTGGGTTGCGTGAGCGAAGTTGTGTGAACATGTTTCGCCTCATTGGTGGTTTGGTTTGATGGCTTGGACGCTAGAGGGGTTACCTTTCCCATTTGGCATCAGAAGGAGCTGCGGTTCAAGCCACCCAAACCACCAATCCAAACTGTCAACTGACCATTTCTCATAGGGTGCTCATGTGGCATGAGAAAGTGGAACCCGGCCAGACAACCCAATGGTTGAGATATGAGTTACCGCTCCCAGGCGTTGGATAACGGATCCGCCTTCGTGGAGGTCCGCCGTTTTGGAACAGCCAATGTGGCTTGGTATGATGCAGATCTCCAGACAACCAGTCAGCTTCTCAGGGTTTTGGTTACAATTTCATGCAAAGAAGGATCCTGCGTCTTTTTATGTTAGAGAATAAAAACCGGGTGCTTCAAGATCCCTGCATCCAGCTTCCCCCATTCCGGCTCGGGTCCCTTTTTTGCAGGTCGAAGCCCCTGGATGGCCTGGATTGCGGATTCTTCACCGGGATAACAGGTTCTAAAGGTATCACAGTGCTAGAAAATCGTCATTGAATGGGTTTGTTTGCGGTTGGCCGATGGACATGGGAGCCTCGGAATAGTGGAATAAGTCACTAGCACCGTGCTGTTTTGGCTGATAGGGATGGCCATCAAACCTGCAATTAAAGCGTTGTGCAAGCCACCGTGATGGGTTCGCCATGAGGGAAAGCGTGCTGTCCAACTTGGTCAAAGTTTGGAAAGCTTCTTTGGCATCTAGGCCATAGCAGAAGGCTTTTGCAACTACACACCTAAGTGATGGCGGTTTTTCAGCATTTGGCCAACCAAGGCCCCAAACGGAAAGCCAAAGAAAGGAGGCTCAAAGTAGTTAAGTCCCACAGGTCACAAAGGGGGCAGCTCGCCGTTTTGGGCAGAGAAATCGAGGGCAAGAGTGGCTCGCGTTTTGGGTGTTGCAAGGGAGCAAGTAGCTGCAAGGGATGATTTGCCAATCCAAATAAGGGGAGACGAACTCGCGCTCCCTATCTCCGATATTTTTTCTTTTTTTCTTTTTCCAAAAGGGTCCTTCAGAACTCTGCTGATCGGCGGCTTTGACTTGAGGGCCTTTGGAAGTCTGTCTTGCATTTGACGACCATGAGCAGAGAGCCAACCATGCCCTTTGAGCTGATGGAGTGTACCCCATGGGAAGACTGCCTATGTCTTGCGGGACCTATCACATTCTTGCCCTTCCGCCCATGATCCTTGCTGGTGCTCAGGGGAAGTGAATGAACCGGAAGAGGAGTCCCTAAGGGAGACCAGCCAGTGTCCTTTTTGCGCGCTGTTGGCGCGTCCGACGCGCGTTCGACGCGTCGAGTCCTTCAGCTTGCCAGGAGTTGGCCTCTGAGCTGAAGGCGGGCAATTGGAGATGGCTAGAGTGAGGACTTGGAGCTTTCATGGTGCGGGGTTCGTTTTTGTTTTGTTGTTTTCCTCTTCTTTTTTTCCCCCTTTGTTTTTCCTTTCTTGTTTTTTCTGGGAAAGATCTGGCAAGTGAGCCAGAGCTTCTCCGTTTCAGGACCCACTAAAGGGTTATTTGAAAGTGCGGAATTAACATGACCTGCTGGTTGAGCCCCATGTTTGCACAAGGTCCCTCTTCCTGCGCAGAAAAAGGCAATTTAGTATGAAGGGCTAACTAAATACGTTGCATATGGTTTGCTTTATCATGACAAAGTTGGTTTCAACGCACCCCACAAGCCCGTGGCTCCGCATTTCGAGCTCAGGGCGACCTCAGGCGGCAGCTGGAGGAATCGGAGCTGGGCGCCTTTGGCAGCATCAAACATCGGGGCCCCCAAATAGCGGGTCCTTATCTTGTGTTACGAAGTGGCACCGAAACATCATCATTTCCCCCAAATGGACACCCAAAGGGCAATGCCGACCTTTTTACCATTATCATTTCCCTCAAAGGACATCATCATTTTTTTAAACAATATAATATAATATAATAATAATAATAATAATAATAATAATAATAATAATAAATAATTAATAATAATAAATAATTAATAATAATAATAATAATAATAATAATAATAATAATAATAATAATAATAATAATAATAATAATAATAATAATAATAATACACAAATATACAAGCAAGTATATATTTTGTCGCCCTTGCTGTGGTTGTTTCAAGTGGACGTACAACAAGGGAGCCCTAGTCGTCCATTGCTGTCGTTTCATGGCCCGTCTCATGGATGCGACTCTTGGTTTTTGGGTTGGAAGCCCAGTGGTTTCGACCCCCCAAACGTCCATCTTGGGGATCCCCAAACAAGGCAAACCAGGGATGAGCCAACTTGGAGGTTTCCAGGCACCGGCCACAGCGGTACTCCAAATTTTGGAAGCAAGTGACAGTATATTTAAGGGACATCGCATGGATTGTGTGGCATTTTTAAGGGCTCCATTGCCTCTTTGTGGAAACTCTCATGTACATTTCAAGAGGAGGGCGTCTCATCTCTTCTCTTGTGGTGTAGATCATATCGCGCACACAAAGGGACCCCTCTTTTTTTGTGGTGCGGGAATGTAACGGATGTTTGGAAAAAAGGGAAGCCGAAGCCCATGTGAGGATCGTTCGAAAAGGGGTTTCCTTTTCTGGGACCCTGTGGAGGCCACAAGGAACTGGTAGAAAAAGATAAAGAATAGAAATAATAAAGCAAGAAAAATCAGACAAGCCTCTGGAAGACCGATTTTTTGAGCACTACCAAGGTAGCCTGAACCTAACTTGCGTCTCGCAACTCAGGCGCTGCACTGCGGGAGGCGGGGTTGGTGAAGTTTCCTCGCGGCAGCTGCGGTCATGGAGAAATCTGGCCATGGGTCATACCCTATGCCTCCATTTTGGGGCGGATGAACACCCATGTACCAGCTATGTTGATGTTCACCACGGGTTTTTGATCCGCAGCCATCTAAGGGCGGTGTTTGCATAATCCCCCCACCAAACATGGAATACGTGGCAAACTCCCTTCGGAAGACCACGTTCCTTTGGAAACGAGGTTGCGCTTGCATGTTTGTTTCCGGGAGGGTGATGTTCATGTCACAGGCCATTCCGCAAAGCTTGGTGGCTCGGTTTCGTCCTTTGAAACAGTTAGTTCAATTTCAGAGTGAGCTGTTTTGCGTTACCATGGTTCCACTGCTAGTCTCAAACATAGTCTTAGACATGACCAGGTACCAGGTATGGGGTGGGAATACACACTGATTGAAGGCATAGGCATTTTTCAGGCTGTCAGGATCCTTTGTGCTGATTGAACATCAAGTTGGACCTCCTCTTGGCTTACACTTTAAGGGGGTCCAAGGGGATGGTTCTGTCCAGAGGCCTTGGTTACTTGGTTGTTTGGTTGCCATGGGTGAGTATTGCAAAGGCCCTTGGCGAGTAGGGGACAGCCCGGCCACAAATAGCTGTTTTGCCACAAGTTTGATTTGTACCGCTATATATCAGGTATGAATTGTGACTTCTATCGTGTCCTAAATTTGAGAGCAGTTTCGACTTTTGGAAGAGGATCCATCCTGTGGTTTTGGCTATGAATCTATCGGCAGCAATTGATTCCCCATTTGTGCAATGGTCAAAAGAACTACTTGCTTAGGTTCACCAGACATGGCCATCATTGAATCAAGTCGTTGAGAGTTTTAGACAAACAAAAACGCCCAACAGGTTGATAAGCGCGTAAACACGGGAGCTCCTGTTTGGCTAAGTCCTAAGTCCATACTCGAAATCCTTGGGGGCAAGGACGCTTTTCTTAGCGAGTCAATCCCTTGGTGCGGGGGAGAAGACGAGCTCCAGGAGAATCCCAGAGATTTTTCTCATATGTGTGAATCCGAGCCCTTCCTGGACCATGGTTATCCCAGAGTGATTGCTTGGTTGGTCACGCGTTGGGCTACACTTGCGCGAGCATAGCGGAGGATCCTTACTTTGTGAATCACTCAGCCCACCCAAACTGCTTCATAGGTGTCCTGGGAGGTCAGTTTGGCGCAACATTTTGTGGATGGTCAACCCACACGGTTCAAGTCATTTACCAGTGCCAGGTATTTTTCATTCTTTGGGTTTTTCGGTTGGGTGCAACTCTCATTTCAGCTACTAGCTCGTTTTGGATTGGTCTGGGGATTAGAACCGTGAAATTCGGAACATGGCAGTGGGTCAAAAATAGGGAAAAACCCAAATGGAGGCCTGGCAAATGGCACCAAGGACGGACACCTGCGGTCTCTCATCACCCAACCCACTCCAAATCTGTGGGGAGCATCGAGGTTTGGCCGTTCGACTTCGCGAGGCGCGAGAGGCCAAGTGCGCCTCCCCGCTGCCGGAGGGCAACTCGGTGGAGGACCCATGAGCCCGCAGTTGGGGGAGGGGAGGGGAGGGGAGGGGAGGGGAGGGGAGGGGAGGGGAGGGGAGGGGAGGGAGGGGAGGGGAGGGGAGGGGAGGGGAGGGGAGGGGAGGGGATCAAGCATTCTGCAAGAAGGGTGGGCCACGGCGGAACACATCATGAGCAACAGGCGTCCGGAAACTCTGCAGCATGTGTTGTTTCTTGCTTTTGACATGGTGAGTTCACGTCTTCCAAATCTGTTCTTTTGCCAAGGGCCATCCAACGACTGCTCCGTCCAAAGTTCATGTACAGAAAGCAGTGCTTGGGGGTTCTGGCACATTGAGCGTCTATTGGCTTCTTGATCGCTTGTCTGGCGCGTATGGTTTGCCACACAAGCCACGCACTGCAGCGGAATCAAGGAACTGCTTTGCTGCGTGCAGTTGTTGGCACAGAGCTGAAACTTGAGCCAGGTCTTTGAACTGCCAATGCTCACGTGCTTTGAGCGGTGTTAGAATCTGGCTATCAAAGACGTTGCAGGATGTGTTTTCGCTGATGCCAGCAGATGTGTGCGAGTCTTGCCAGAGTGTGCTTGTTGTTTCCAGAGTATGCTTGGTTGTCTTGCCGGAGGGTGTTTGGTTGTCAACGAGTTTCCCACATGCTGTTGCTTTCAACAAGTCGATGGGAGGCGGCCAGTGGCTATTGACTTTTTGTTTACGGGCTCTTTGTTCTTTGCTCAATTGAGATACTGAGATACTTGCTTGTCTGGCGCGTATGGTTTGCCACACAAGCCACGCACTGCAGCGGAATCAAGGAACTGCTTTGCTGCGTGCAGTTGTCGGCACCGAGCTGAAACTTGAGCCATGTCTTTGAACTGCCACTGCTCACGTGCTTTGGGCTGTGTTAGAATCTGGCCATCAAAGCAGTTGCCGGATGGGTGCTCTCGGTTGCCAACCCTTGCTGAGTCTTGACCGATTCTGGGGGAAAGAAGCTTCTTTTTGGAGACTCCCTTTTTCAGGTGTTGGAAGTATTGCAAGCAAAGGCAGAGTTTTTGTGCCATGGGACAGGGTTTACGAAATATCCTTTTTTGGCGATTCAAAGATTAGCTCTTGGGCCAATTTGAAGCGAGCTTACCTCGAGGGTGATGCTAGTTTGGAAACACATTTGGGACCCAAACGAAACCGGACTGCAATTTCAAATTGCATTGGGGCCAATGTCTGAAAATTGGAACGCCTCACACTCGGGGTGCAAACAGCAGCCGTGCCTTTATTTTTTGCGCCCTCCCTTGCCTTTCGAAGGTGCCCACCCGTCCACTTACATTGAACCTGACTGAGGGGTGGAAGACGGTTTTCCTTTAAGGGGGAATGGCAGGTTCTGTGTTGGTGGACAGGAGGGTATGTCTTGTCCCCCTTCTTCTTTTTTGTTTTGTTTTTTGGCATGCCCGAGTTTTTTCGACGGCCTTTCGCGCTCCGTTACTTCCTTTCACTCGGTTTGCGGTGGATCCAACACATCATCAAACGTTTTTTTCCTGGATTGGCGTAGATTAAACACCCCGGAACGAGCGACCCTGAACAAACTTTTGCACACACACACACACATGTCATAGCAGTGCGTGAATGAAAAGATCAGCCCCACATGCGAAGCTTTTAGTGGCGAGAATCAGGTTACATGGGACGAAAGAGCAACAAAAGGACCATTATACAAGAGCCCAGCTGAGGTGACAGCGCGAATGAAGGAGAGTGGATGAGAGCGCAAGTGAATAAGTGAACGCTTGAGTGAGTGAGAAGGAATGTCATCGCCCCAGGGTCATGCTCTGTGGAAATGACTTCACTGGTCACTTGGTTGCCTCTGCTGCCGCGTGGCGCTGGTTGTAAAAGCATCCTCTGCCTGAGCGGAAGGCCTGTCACGAAGCCCAGCTTGCGCGAGCCCACAGCACAAAGCCTGCCACGAGAGCATTCCTGCGAAGCGTTGTGCGCGTGCCCCGTGCAATGCTTCGATGTGGCTTCACAAAGCCCGAAGTACTGACCCTGCCACGAAAGCAGCCCGGCGACCCGCCGACCGCTCCGTGCTGACCAGTCTAAAGCGCCGCGCCTGCCACGAAATCGAACATCAGAAGCCCGAAGTACTGACCCTGCCACAAAAGCAGCCCGGCGCCCCTCACCGACCGCTCCGTGCTGACCAGTCTGAAGCGCCGCGCCTGCCACGAAATCGAACATCAGAAGCCCGAAGTACTGGCCCTGCCACGAGCCCGGCGCCCCTCACCGACCGCTCCGTGCTGACCAGTCTAAAGTGCCGCGCCTGCCACGAAATCGAACATCAGAGGCCCGAAGTACTGACCCTGCCACGAGCCCGGCGCAGCTCACCGACCGCTCCGTGCTGACCAGTCTAAAGCGCCGCGCCTGCCACGAAATCGAACATCAGAAGCCCGAAGTACTGCCCTGCCACGAGCCCGGCGCCCCTCACCGACCGCTCCGTGCTGACCAGTCTAAAGCGCCGCGCCTGCCACGAAATCGAACATCAGAAGCCCGAAGTACTGACCTTGCCACGAAAGCAGCCCGGCGCCCCTCACCAACCGTTCCGTGCTGACCAGTCTAAAGCGCCGCGCCTGCCACGAAATCGAACATCAGAAGCCCGAAGTACTGGCCCTGCCACGAGCCCGGCGCCCCCAACCGACCGCTCCGTGCTGACCAGTCTAAAGCGCCGCGCCTGCCACGAAATCGAACATCAGAGGCCCGAAGTACTGACCCTGCCACGAGCCCGGCGCCCCTCACCGACCGCTCCGTGCTGACCAGTCTAAAGCGCCGCGCCTGCCACGAAATCGAACATCAGAAGCCCGAAGTACTGACCCTGCCACGAAAGCAGCCCGGCGCTCCTCACCGACCGCTCCGTGCTGACCAGTCTAAAGCGCCGCGCCTGCCACGAAATCGAACATCAGAAGCCCGAAGTACTGACCCTGCCACGAAAGCAGCCCGGCGCCCCTCACCGACTGACCAGTCTAAAGCGCCGCGCCTACCACGAAATCGAACATCAGAGGCCCGAAGTACTGACCCTGCCACGAGCCCGGCGCCCCTCACCGACCGCTCCGTGCTGACCAGTCTAAAGCGCCGCGCCTACCACGAAATCGAACATCAGAGGCCCGAAGTACTGACCCTGCCACGAGCCCGGCGCAGCTCACCGACCGCTCCGTGCTGACCAGTCTAAAGCGCCGCGCCTACCACGAAATCGAACATCAGAAGCCCGAAGTACTGACCCTGCCACGAGCCCGGCGCCCCCGTGCTGACCAGTCTAAAGCGCCGCGCCTGCCACGAAATCGAACATCAGAAGCCCGAAGTACTGACCCTGCCACGAAAGCAGCCCGGCGCCCCTCACCAACCGTTCCGTGCTGACCAGTCTAAAGCGCCGCGCCTGCCACGAAATCGAACATCAGAAGCCGAAGTACCTGCCACGAGCCCGGCGCCCCTCACCGACCGCTCCGTGCTGACCGAGCGCCGCGCCTACCACGAAATCGAACATCAGAGGCCCAGTACTGACCTGCCACACGCAGCTCACCGACCGCTCCGTGCTGACCAGTCTAAAGCGCCGCGCCTACCACGAATCGAACATCAGAAGCCCGAAGTACTGACCCTGCCACGAGCCCGGCGCCCCTCACCGACCGCTCCGTGCTGACCAGTCTAAAGCGCCGCGCCTGCCACGAAATCGAACATCAGAAGCCCGAAGTACTGACTCTGCCACGAGCCCGGCGCCCCTCACCGACCGCTCCGCACTGACCAGTCTAAAGCGCCGCGCCTGCCACGAAATCGAACATCAGAAGCCCGAAGTACTGACCCGGCCACGGAAGCAGCCCGGCGCCTCTCACCGACCGCTCCGCGTGTTTTACTGGCAGGGTCAATACTTCGGGCTTCCGCGCTGACCAGTCTAAACGGAAAGCCCGAAGTTTGACGCTGCCAGGAAAACAGCCTGCCGCCCCCAGCCTGCTCCGCGGTGATTCGTCAAAAGCACGAAAACTGTCCGGCACTGACAGTCTAAAAGGAAGCGTTCAGCCTGAGGCCGCGGCTGTTTTCCTGGCAGGGTCAGGGCTTCCTGAAGTTCGACTTCGTGGCAAGGATGGTGCGGCGCTGACCAGTCTTGCCTGCCACGAAATCGAACTTCAGAAGACGCCACGAAAACAGCCCGGCGCAGACCAAAAGTACCGCGCCTGCCACGAAGCTGACCTTCAGGAAGTCACACTCGACCGCTCTGCGCAGACCAATCTTAAGCAACAGGCCGAGTGAGTGAGTGAGCGAGTGAGTGAGTGAGTGAGTGAGTGAGCGAGCGAGGGAGGGAGTGAGTGAGTGAGTGAGTGAGTGGGTGAGTGGCAGGAGGGGGGAGGAGCGGGGAATCAACAACCCCGTTGCACTTCTGAGTATCAAGCGTTCATTTTCTAAGCGGGATTCTCTGCTCGGAGAGCGGGCAAGGCTATGGAGTCCCTAGATGCCTTCTGCGTCAAGAGAAACCTGTGCCCGGTGGCAGGTGGGCGTGTGTCTTTTTGAGGGTGCCCTTTCCAGGTTGGTTTGAAGGAATGCCAAAAGGCGAACCGCCGTTCTTGCCCCTTGTTTTGACAGCCCAAGGCCCGGCTCTTTGCTCCGAACTTGTTGGGGCGTTCTCGTCACAGAGTTCGTGAGGGGCTTCCCACACTGCAAGCCCCGCCTGTGAGTGTGTATTCCTGCTTCAACAACACCTTCTCTGTAGAGTCGTTCTGCTCCCGCAATCTGAGGTGAATGAAGAAAAGCAGCTTGCCTTCCGTGATCGCCGGAGTAAGCCACGCCGCGTCCGCCATTTGAGCGGTTCTTGCGTGTTTGCCGCGTTGCCGCTGCCCCGGCGCACCCTTAAGCGACACGAAAGAACGCGGGCCTGCCCCGCAATGGCAGCCGCTGGCCAATGCGAACAAAAGCCAAGAAACTCACCACAAAGCGGCGCTCGCGTCATCCCTTCTAGGCGCGCAGGGACTCGTTTTTACTTCTCAGGTTGCCGGTCTCTATGGCCATCCCCAAGGCCGCCGTCAGAAAGGGAGGCTTTGTCTCCACAGAGTTTTCTACTAGTTTCTAGATTTGTTGGGAGTCTCTCAGTGGGAAACAACCCGTCTCAACAAAAGCGTTGGACAGACGCACGTAAAAGTATGCCCAAGTGCGTGGCGGAACCTTTTGACCCAGGACCTGCAAGCTTTGGCAGCCACCAACCAGGCCCAGGCGCGATTGGGCGGCTTCGCGCCCAGCCCCTTCGTAGAGGACACCCCAAAGGCCACCTTCTTAAATTCCCTGGCCGCAGTTACACATGATTCCCCTACGCGGGAGCCACCTCTGCTTCTTATGGTTCTCGGTCGCTTGAGCACTCAGTTCCAGTACCAAGTTCATGGACGACTCCGATTCGATTCCGCTTCCAGGCGGACAACATTGTTGCAGCGGGCACTGCAGACAAGAGGCGTGGTCTTGTGGCAAAGCCTCCTCAGAGCCATGTGGGTTTGTCTCCCAAAATGGAGCCTTTCTTCCCTTTGGCCTCCCTGGAGCACAACCGCCAGGGGGGGGCTAACGACCCTCCAACATGGCAGTCCGTCCTTTGGTTGTCCCGTGGAAAAGCAACCCAACATGGAAAGCGAGCCTCAGACCACACACGCACACACACACGCACAACCAAATCTCCTGGGCGCGCCCGTGGGTTTGTTTCAACACGAGCCGAGCTACTCCAACGGTTGGTTTCATGTTGCTTTCCATTTTTGAGGCATCTTTAGATTGGTGCCAAGTCTTGACCTGCAACCAGGATTCGCCCCGGAAGCAACCTTCCGCACACAAAAACAACAGCGCAAATAGCCTTCTTCATTAGAAAAAATGTTCCAGTTTAGTTTTACTTCGGGCCCCATGGTAGGTGACTTGTTTGGATGAACTACCATGTAGGGGGTTCCCGAAAAACAGAGATGGACATGCGTATGAGGCCACATCATGACGTTTACCTAGGACCGGTGACTGAACCCAAAAGAATCTGGCAACTCGCTGACGCTTTCCTTTGGGCTAGCCCGAAAATCAGCTTCTCATTGTATAAGTTTTCGCAACATCTCACGAGAGAAGTCGGCCCTTAGAGCCGAATTGGTGAACTTGGGGTGGGAATACGGCAACTCAGTCCTACGTGAGCGGCACCGACTCGTCCTGGATTGCGGGCTAGTCCGTGAGTGGGGGGGGGTCTGGAGTTGCCATTGCAGCTCGCCAAACCCACTGAAGACTCCGTGCAACATCGACTCTCATTTGTCAGTGTCCATGTTGGAAGTCGCGGCCAGGCCAGGCTGCCGCAAGGACGCACGCTCCACTTGCGGGTGTCATTTTCAGGTCAGTTTGGGTGAACACAGACGGTCTTGGTTTCGTTCGAAGAATTACCATGTTCCTTTCCCATCTCCTTTTCGGCCTTCTCAAACAAACCAACGAGGGGGCTCCAAACCTTTTTTTTTTTGGCCCCACTGTTGCCAAGCCCAGTGTTTTGACTGATTCAGGGGTTATCAAAGTTAGACCTCCGCTGTTTCCTTGTAACCTACCACGAGCGTTCCTTTGGTGCTAAAGTCACATAGGCTCGCTGAAAGACCTGCAGCTAAGGAGGGTGGGGGGAGGGGGGGGGGCCTGCAGCTACCACGTGCTTGCAAGGAGGGTACAAAAATTGGGGGGGGGGGGGCACCACTGCTGTAGGTCTGCAACCGACCATTGTTCTTGATGGGGGGGAGGACCCTTGTATTTGATATTTTTTGCATCCGAGAACTTTCATGGCAGCTGTTGAATCTGTCACAGATGTTTTGCGGCCTGTCTTTGCTGCCTCGTTTCTTGCTTGACGTTGGAAGGGAGCAACAAGTTAAATTTTAGCAGTTAAGTGGATTTGGTTTTCCCATTAAACCACAATAACCAAGAATGTAAAATGTTTCCCAACAACCATGGCTTGCTTGAACTTTGGCGGTTGCCTACTGCTGAGAGACCTGCCCTAAGGCAAAGTCACGGGTTTTCACGAGGGTGTTTGGGCCATACCCAGCCGTTTGTGCAGCAGTGTTGCGGCTTCTCTTGTAGGACAATTTGTCTTACGACCCTCGGGTGGCCATTGTGCGCTCCTTGCCGATGACACCATTCGGTTTGTTGAGGCACTGAGACAGTGCTGGGATCCATATGGTGGTTTTGGGGTGCATCATGATTGCGCAGAATGAACTGCTTCAGATGCCCCCGTGTTCTTTTGAATTCAGCATTGATGGCGCGTCTCAGTGACTCGGAGCCAACTGAAAGAGGTAAAGATAAATTTCCCGTAATTAGCCCAACAACATCAACTCGGCAACCTTCCGGCCCCACCATGGGTGCGGCTTACAAAGGCCTGACGACCCGCAAACCAAGTAGGACCCCCAATGGCAAATGCGAATCGGTTTCGGCCTTACACACGTGGTCCCCTGTCCCGAGAAAGGAATACACGCACACACACACACACACACACACACACACACACACACACACACACACACACACACACACACACACACACACACACACACACACACACACACACACACACACACACACACACACACACACACACACACACACACACACACACACACACACCCACCCACGCACGCACGCACGCACGCACGCACGCACGCACACACACACCCACCCACCCACACACCCACCCACCCACGCAC